CCTTGTATGTATTTCCTGCTTCCATTTTTAGTTTCTAATTAAGGGGTTTTATTACTGCTATGTTAGTAAAGGTCGCATAACTTGTAGAATTTTAAGAACAGTAGACGATTTTGTCACACGAAATGTATTTTTTTTACATTTATACACGAATGGTATATTTTCAAGTTATGAGTTTTTTCATCATATTTTTGTATCTTATGCACCGAGGACAACTTAAAAACACAGGGTGTTAATCGGTTGCTTCTGTTTCTTATTCTTGTAAACGAGCAGTTTTAGATCGACACTGCTGGATATGCATGGATATGGGGCTTAGAAAGGAGGTTTTAGGCTACTATACCACGCTGGTCAAACGGACTGGTGTAGGGTTTGTTTCAAGTTTTCCTTCTGTATGTAGTGCTGTTGTCCTGCGTAGTTTGCTCCCTTAGTCGGCTTTAACGACACCCACGGTAAGAATAGGGATACCCTTCGTATTTTTAATCCGTCACCGCACGGACAACAACAACAACAATATTATCCACTAATACGCTATTTATACGAGACGTATACGAAAATTTGAGACATATATTATTCTATCATGTTATCGTTACATATAATTTGCAATAGTACCTAATTATAACGTATTCTAATAACAGAAGCTTTGTTGCGGTGATCCAACAGTTTTTCAGAAGTTCGTAGAGTGCAACAGTGAGGTCAGGCTTTATCACAACCGACCTGCAGCAATCCCAAGAACACGTATCACGTTCTTTTATATCTGTGACTGTGCTCATTTCTGTGGTTAGATTTGCGTCAATCAAAAATACTTTTAATTTATTGTAGTAAATACTAACAACTATTAAATAATGAAATCCTGGTACATACGTGATAAAATGTGAGTTCGCATAATATTTATTCCATCTTAACGAATGATGGAATCATTGACGTATATACCTATCAAGTACGAACATTACCTAGGTAGATTTGCAGTTCAATTTATAATATATAAATGTTAATTAAAGCAGCTGGAAAACCCAGTTTAAAGAAGTGAAATCACAAATGCCCTGGTAGTGGCGAGACTATCAGCCCTTCATTCTATCAACTTGTGTGTGTCAAAAGGACATTGTCTTAGATCCTGGCAGCAGATATAATATATAAAGAACATTTTCACGAATTTATACAAATGTTATGCTCAAAAAATCGATACTACAATATTCAACCACAGGTTTTCACAATAAAATAAAGTCGTAATAGAAGCTCACATAATCGATTTAGGTATGTGAAGCCAAATATGGGAAGGAACTTCACATAACCGTTTAATTATAATCCACTCCAGATTAAAGGTCACGTACTACATCAAGTTAAATAGTAATGTGGTAATTTGTCATAATATGTGGTGGAGTGTCAGCCGATGCGTCACTCATTGTCATTGCCTGTCAACATTTCTTCAACTCATTTTTGACGTCAGACATTTGATCAATGAATACCTTTTTCTGAGGGAAAGAAGCAGTCAGGAAGAAAGGTGAAATATTGATATACATAATTAATAATAATACTTTTGTTACTAATTGTAAATGTAATTACTAAAAGACTGAGAGAAGTGAAAGATGTTTCTTTGTATTTATATTTTTCGTAGTTTTACTGTTGAACATAACACGCTATATCCATAACACAATCCTTTAGAAGTAGTCGTTTATAAACTTCGTCTGCGTCTCTCAATTTTCTCCGTTTTTGAAACATTCTTCATTGGTGCTCCGCTCCTATTGGTCTTAGTGTGACGATATATAGCCTATAGCCTTCCTCGATAAATGGGCTATCTAACACTTAAAGAATTTTTCAAATCGGACCAGTAGTTCCTGAGATTAGCGCGTTCAAACAAACAAACTCTTCAGCTTTATAATATTAGTATAGATTCACACGATACGGCAGACAATTATTGTCAGTCGTATGCAAATTGTAGGCACAGGTCAGATACCGTCGTTAAGTGCCTGGACACTAACAATGTTTTCTACTTAAATATTTCAATAGATGTGTAGACAATTAAAAAATACATCTTATTCAAAGAGCTTCCTCATATTATTATATGAGACTTATGATGAGTAAACTATTGTTTTATTATAAGCCATATTATAAGGCAAAAATCAATAAATAGATAAATTAAATCTGTGAACACGTTAATCTCAGCATCAAGTGCTTGAATGGATTTTAAATTTAGACAACGGAGCCGTAAACGTCCACCGTCTGGCAAACTGGAGGTATGAAAGAGCTCATTAAACCAAGTACTGAGCACGAAGGCAAAGCTGATAACCTAGAGTTATTACCGTGGGAGAGCTATGCTACAGCACATATGGGGTGGCTCAACCCGAGTGAAACCACGGCATCACAGAATACTGATGTTAAGCAATTCTTTTGATGCCTTTCACAAAGTGAATGAGCTTACTGTAGCTCGACCCTTGCCCTATGACTTAGGGGGGAGGAAGGGGAAGGGTGACTAATGGACGACAACGCACTTGCGTCTCTTGATTTTGCAAGATTTGCGGCGATAGTCATTTGTCCCTGGCCCATTTGTGCAGAGAAAGTTACAATTATTTCATATGTTTTACAGAACACCTCCTTCCATAAGATGATCACGATGACAAATAAGTAACATCGATAACGATCATACATTTTACGCAAAATGTCTAAACAATTTTACAATACCCATTACTCAGTGAGGTCGTTTGTTTTACAGCACTGATAATACTTGGGCAAGGACAGTACAACAGTCTTTCCTCACGTTAACACTTTGTATCATATACAAACTAATATTATCTGGATTATGTCATTTGCATCGAACCCATGCCTACGTGACTTATGAAGAAACAACAACTGAAAAATTTAGTACAGGCCTGCCAATAAGTCACATAAATTATGAGAAATATGTGACACCGAAACATAGCTCTAAATGTGATTTAGTAGATTTTTTATACATGTCGCACTAAATATATTTAATGACAAATTGGCAAGAACTGTGAAGTGTTTAAGACAGACTCAAGTTACGTCCAAAAATAGTCTAAACAGTGAGTATTCTCTCATTAAAGTGATGCCAGTGTGATCGTTTTTGGAACTATTCATTTGACAAGCTATTATTTGTAATGGCCTAGCCCAGAGATTAGACATAAAACGGGTACCAATGACCTCGAGACTGTCGGTTTGTATGCCTTGAGTATAGTTTGGGAGATGCGACGACGTGGTATCGTCAGACGTTTTGTATTACATTTATACTACAGATCATGTTGGTCTATTAAATTTATTAAAATAGGCTGACCAAGTTCTTTTTTTATTTATTTATAGACAACTCCCGCATTAGGAATATATCCTGTGTCGCGGGGGACTTTGCAAATAAACATGAAACGGACACAAAGAACACTCAGACTCAGAACAACAATTTGTTGATGTGTGGATCACACAAATTGTTATCCCATGTGGAGATCGGACCCACAACACTCAGCGTAGTAGTAAGTGGCGAGGTGACCGCTTAAACCACTACGCCATCCGTGCAGTCAATTTTACTTACATAGTCAATTATTATTATTTTTAAATGTAGGATATTCTGCTGCTGTCCAAGAAAGAATAGGCAAACTTAATAAACAAGTAAAAAATGGAAATTGGGTCATGTTTAACGTTGTTAGCTAGTATTAGTATATAGTATTAAATTTATCATTTTAGCGCCGTTTGATTGAGTGTGTGTTAAATTACTGAGTCACAGCAGGACACTGATGATCTCGGCGCACGTGCCCAGAATAATTCACAAAAGTTTTTGTCCAACCACATTATTGTAGAATTAAACAAGAAAAGCAATAACGTTTGGATTTCAAACTATCAATAAAACATTAAAGAACACAAAAATAGAAAGCCTACATAAATAAAAATAGTTTCGTTTTTTTTAAATATACATATGTAATACTAAATATTAGTGATACAATATTTCAAATTGTCTGAATAATGTTTCAAGAAAAGAAAAGAATACCCAGACAACAGGGAAATTCATAGAGAAAGTGCTTTCTCTATAAAAAAAAATATATTGTTAGGATCATATCAGTTAGTAATATACTAATATTGAAAATGAAAAAGTTTGTCTGTCTATGTGTTTGTTACCTCTTCACGCTTAAACCGCTCAACCGATTTCAAGGAAATTTGGTATAGAGATAGTTTGATTCTTGAGAAAGGACATGGGCTACTTTTTACCGCGGTAACCGACAGACACGCGGGCGAGAAAAGCTATTATAAAATAAATGGTGATCTATGAATTGTAATGCGATATTGGAGAACAGTAAGTATATGTATGGAGAAAGCCTAATAAATTATATTCAAGACAAATTTGCGTCTAATTTCTATATCCGTGTCCTATAAATCCGTTACAATACCAGCGTCTGACGAGAACATTTATTAGAATCTAATCTCAGTATCTCCGCTCGCTTGGAATGCGGACGCTTAGGTACTAAGTGCGTTAATTTTCATATGCTTAAAGAATACTCGTGTTAACTAAGTGTTAATTTACTATCGGGAAAGAGTTTTTTTAGTACTAATTCAACTCAGCCGTTTAATCAAGTTAGATCGATTAGAGCAAAAGATCAGAAAAAATTTAATGTAAAGTCAAGGAAAAAAAAGAAATACATTTTTATAGACTCATATTAAAGAAAATAGAAAAGTTTAGGATCGTATATGTGATTACGCAATAAAGAAGTCCTAAATCATATACTGTATCAATTAAATATCGGATTAAGGTAAAAACGAAATAATTACCTTCCTCTTTTGAGCTCGGTTCAGAACAGGTGACTATACTGTGACTATAATGATACAGGTAATTATTATGATGACTTCAGTTTTCATAAACACATGTTTTTTTATTTGTTTGTATGTCAGTTCAAAGTTTTATAAAATTTTCTGAATAAACTATTGGTGACTAACAGTTGAGGTTATAATCATCCGTCACCGGCGTTCACCTGGTACAAAAGTAAATAAGAAAAAGTATGATTAATACCAACTTGTCGGGTAAGTCCGGCGCCGGAGTTGAAACTACGACGTCGCCAAGACGCACGTGGCGTTCGTAATCCGTGTAGTGCGGTACACCGCCTCCTACGCCCACTAAAAACACATACTCCACCTGTGAATAGAAGGTCTTAAATAAATTCTGTCATCATTGTGGACTATGACACGATGATTTGTAAGTTTCATTTCATTTGACTTTCCACTAGCTGTATTATTTTTTTATTTACTTGAGTTCTTAAAATCAACAGCTACAAAAATGATAATGGTCAGATTTATTTATTCATTTATTTTATAGAATCTCCAACAAGAAATACACCTTACATGCTAGTTTTACAGCATATAAAATCTTAAGTCTTGTGCTTCCTCAATTATTGGATAATTATTGGAAGTGTTAAAAATGATTGCTATAGGACAAGATATCAGACTGCTATAAGTCCGTGTGGTGACGGATTAAGAATACGGAGTGTCACCACCCCTATTCATCCCGTGGGTGTCGTAAGAGCCGACTAAGGGGAAAAACTACGCAGAACAACAGCACTGCAGAGAGAAGGAAAACTTGACACAAACCGTATACCAACCCGTCTGGCCAGCGTGGTATAGTAGGCCAAAACCTCATTTCTAAGGAGAGGCTTATGTCCAGCAGTGGACTATTAAAGGCTGTTGATGATTATGATGATGAAGATATCAGACGAGCGCACCGTGACCAAAATGCAGGATGTATGTCGTCAGATCCTGCGCCTTTAGAGAGACCAGAAGATTTTTTATGCACTGCATCTGGAGTAGTTGCCTCATACCATTTTAGAGGGGTGGGAGTTATTGCTCTTCCGGAGATTTTTTATAGGTGTCCAGAAAAACTTTGGATGTTGTTTTATTTTAGTTTCTATTGTTCTATATAATCATTGTAACATTGTTGAGTATGAGTATGCCATTCTTTTCTTATGTAATTAAATTCAAAAATATCGAATCTATTATCAGATTTTTTTATTCTCTTACGCAATTTTATATACAAGATTAAGCCAATTACAGGTTTTGAACAGACTGGAACACTAACTAACACGACATGGCACCTATACAATAAATAATAATGGATCTAAAAATGTTACGATTGGAAAAAAATAAGATTCAGCATACTGCACACAACATTGCTTTTGGTATTAAAGTGATCAAAAGAGTACTCCTTGTACAATTGATTGAAATCGCTACTCGCTCGAACAATATATGAGTTTTTTCTATAGTTGGAGGAAAAAAATGGAATAGAAATGGGTGGATTAAATCTAATCGACCTCCATAGGTCGATTAGATTTAATCTACTGTCCTAGCCTAAAATTTAATGACCCCATGGTCATTAAATTTTAGGCTAGGACAGTCAATTTCATTAGAAATATTTTACAAAAGAGTATTTCAACTTCATGCAGTAGGTTTCATTGACATTTATTTATTGTGCACTTAAGTAGATTATCCGACATATTATGTATAAAGAGGGGTATAAAGGGAGGTGGGACTGAAAAGGCGGCAATAACTTGTGATAGATGTTCATGAGTGGCGGTAGCCACTTACCATCAGGTGATCCCCCTGCTCATTTACCCCCCTATAAAATAAAAAAGTATACATATACGTATTTTAAATAACGAACTAGTTGGGGTATCACCATGACCTTTGGTGACTTTGGATACTTGACAACTCGGCTGAAATAAGTTTCAAAGTGGTCCTGGTGCATTTTTTTTCCTCTAGCAACTCTCGAGGTAACTACTGGATTTCTGTTATCCTAAAATCTAATTTCTTTCAAAACTAAACATATGTATAAAAATGTTGTTAATTGTCTTTAGAATAAAAACATTTTTTTTGTACCGGTAAAATAATGAAAAAGTTTAGTGAAACCCAATTAATAAATATGTAACTTTAAGGCTACTAATGAAAGCCCTCACGGAAAGTCAATGTTCAGTACCAAGATATTTTGAGATTACACAATGATACATCTATAATATCACGGGCCTTTTGGTCAAGTGGTTAGTAACCCTGACTGCTAAGCCAGAGGTTGTGGGTTCGATCCCCACCCAGGACAAATAATTGTGTGAATAGCATGATCATTTGTCCAGGTAACATGTCTTAAGACTATTAAGGTCATAGGCTCATTAGAGAAACCCGACACGCAATCAACATCGATTTCGCCTACAGCGGTTAGTATTCATTGTATGGTGAGAGGCCACGAGGCGTTTACAAGTCACTAACGCGGCGTCCACGCGTTGACCACCTGACGTTCGCTGGTTGACAACCCGGCGTCCACCCGCGAACCACTTGTCGACAAGTGGACACCGAACGACGAGGTGGTACTGGTAGGGTGTCGGGTGGGTCTAATGACCTTTAGTCTTATCATTGCACGGGCATATTAAAAACAAAGGTATTATAATCATTAAATTACTTAGTGTTACTAACTCGGGTGATCTGAAACCGTCTCTAGGCCTAAATAAATTATTTCACAGGTGAAAAGAAATAAAACTTGAAAGAAACAACCCGCACCATATGGCAACAAAGTGGTTTAATACTATTTTCACGGAGCTAATTTAGTCCTCACCAAACAAACATACCGACCAGATGCAATCATCGCTATTTCACGCATGGATACGAAATACAAATCAAGGTCAAAGTTATATTATTTCGTATCAATAGGATTAGTATTAATTTGATAGCTACTTAGAATTTAAAAATAAAATCATGCCTGCCACATAGGATCAGACATCATTCAAATATTAGGTCTTTACCTATGAAATTGCCGTTTTGTATGCAATAAGTGAAAGTACTTATTTTTTCAAACTTTTTTATTTCTGTTATTCGAAGTAATCACCCATGCAATCGACGCATCTTTGCCAACTCATTGGCAATTTATTGATGCCCTTCTTGGAGGTGCAAGGTCTGGTGAGTATGGCGGATGAGGGAGAGCTTCCAACCCCAGCTCTTGCAGCTTGGAGACTGTCTGTTGCGCAGTATGGGGTCGCGCGTTGTCGTGAAGGAGCAGTGGGGACGACCGATTGACCAAAGCTGGTTGCAGATGTGACCACCAGACCTTGCACCTACCTACTATTACTTTTTCCAAAATTTAGACAACTTTTTTGTGGGCAAAAAACTCAATTCCCGAGAGGCAGTACAAAATGCCTTTGAAGAGTTTGTTGCCTCCCGTCCAGCTGATTTTTACAAGAAGGGCATCAATAAACTGCCAATGCGTTGGCAAAGATGCGTCGATTGCATGGGTGAATACTTCGAATAACAGAAATAAAAAAGTTTGTAAAAATAAGTACTTTCACTTATTGCATACAAAACGGCAATTTCATAGGTAAAGACCTAATATTCACGAAGTTCATACGACAGTATGATAGCATCCCGTGTATTGACAACATTGGCACGCGTATAATCTGTATTTGTGTAAATTATGTATGTTTCATCTAGGGCGACTATTACTCTTAAAATAACAGAACTAACTTAGTAATCAAGAGTGAAATCATAATAAAAGCTAAACATTATTATGCCGAACATATATTTTTTTATTTGTATAAATTCAGATTTAGATAATTCTTTGTATTAGATAGAGTCGATATTGACGAAGGTATACAATTTATAACATCACGCTACGACATTTAGGAGCAGAGCAGTTACATACACTATACACGATAACATAATTATATGTAGATGAATCAGAGGCCAACGGTTAGTATAGCTTCTAATGTGGTTTAAATATAAACTATAATGGATGTAATTACGCAAGAGGTGATCGTCAATGGAGTTGATAATAGAACAGTAGTACTAATAATATCAGTCAATCATACAGATAACATTCCAATTACAATTTATAGCATTTCTAGTTTATGTTTTCTGATATAAAAAAGGGTCAAGTGTGAATTGAACTTTTGTCAAGAGGGTTCCACAAGATGAATTTCAAATATAAATTTGTACGTGCTTACTTAACTTTTAAACTATTGATCTTCCAATAAAAGCTTATACCCTTATAATGAGCTTTTTTATGTGATATGCCACACGTGCAGTTTAGATTTTTTATTTTTATTTTGAATACTGAACTTAAGCGACCCTCATATATGAATACACTACACAGGAGTACCAAATTTCAAGTTAATCGATCGGACTCACAGAGCAGAGAATAAATATATGGTGAAAGAGGTAATAGTTTAATAGAGCTACGAGTGAGTGTGCGAAAGTTCCTACAAATCCTTCATCGGACTACTAGTAGTCTACATGCATAACCACCACCAAAAATTCAAACTAAATAGACAGCTTCTTTTAAGTTTAAGTCGCCCGAAAACTGCCAAGATCAAGGTCTCAAAAGAGGTATGGTCTAAAATTTATGAAGCCACTGCTGAGAAATAGGATTATTGCAAATACTCCAAATCTGTTAACTTGACTACGTTGATAGACGTGATGTGACGAAGGTATTGACGCACACCGTGCGGTAGGTTTTTGCCATGAGTTCACATTATAAATGTAACCAATAAATACCATATATAGATACGAACTTTCATGGTCTTCCAACTAGAAATGCTGCTAAAATAATATTGTTTTGCTTAATTATATATTCAAGAACATAAAACTAGGGAATCATCCCTATGCCGTGGGAAAACACGAGTGCAATCAATAATACTGCATTAAAATCCTTTTCAAGAGCTTACAGCAACTTCGTTAAAATGCTTTTCAACTCAGTAGTATAAACAAACAAAAACTAGCGCACCATGAGTCTTTAAAAAATATTTCAATTGTTTCGTAAACAGTATTTGGAAAGAACATGTACTAGTTAATTAACTAAGTGTAATAAAAAAATTTACATGTTTATTTAGTGCTAAGATTTTTAGAGCAATTACAGAAAGTAACTGCTAATAAAATAGCCACAAAAAATAATGATAAAGAATATCAGAATAGCCAGAATGAAAGGGTCAAAAAGACAACCTGTGAAAGAGCGGTTGATAAAAATAATCACACCGTTCCGCAAATTACACGTAAAACTTAAAGTCTGAACTAGTTAATATGACGGCAGTTCACAGTTGATAATTAATTATTTTAATCAAGTAACTTTCATAAGGTAAGCATAAGCTCGATAAAGACAAGTTCGGATAGCGTTCAAATATATGCTCTTACCTTCTGGAAAATTCCCAGTAGCCGTGTTGTAGTGTTACCAGCGGCCGTCATGGCTTCACGAGTCCGGCCGACGGATGGCAATTTTGTAGTAACCACCCGATGATTGCCAATTGTCCCCAGTGTGTAAACATTGGACTCGCCTGAAAAATACCAATAGTTACAGCCATGTTTATAAAACCAGCCTATGCTATAAAAGAGGGTGGATAAGCGAAAGTAAACTTTATTTAAAACAAATCGACTTTAGCCCAACGATTAAAGTATTGTTATTTTTGGAAAAGAATGGACGTAGAAAAAACATTCACAGCAGTGTTGCAACAGATCTTTGCGTCTGCGTCCGCATTTATAGACGGACAGTCTCCATAGCTTTTAGAACGACAACGGAATTTTATGATGGTTGTCAACGAAAAGACCCGGCGCATCGGTCAAAGGGATGTTAGATCGCTTGACGGTATAACAACTGCAATCGAGCCTAGCGCGTGCTTTATTTTTCCTTTAAAAGACAACTCCTGCGCTAGGAAAAATAGGAATAAATCCTGTGTCGCGGGGGACTTTACAAACATACATGAAACGGACACAAAGAACCCCAGACTCAGAACAACAATTTGTGAATCACACAAAGTGTCGTCGTGTTTCACAATCACACAAAGAAGTGGGGTTTGAACCCACAACACTCGGCGTAGTAGTGAGCGGCGTGGCGACCGCTTAAACCACTATGCCATCCGTGCAGTTAACTTGTCTTGACTTATTTCAATATACAACCGTTTTAAATTATTATACGCCGTGACGTAGACTTAGTAGTAATTATCAACTACTCGCAGCAGCATTTTCAGTGAGCAATTATTTAGCAGGACCTGTCTCATATTCAAAGAACACCAAAGCAAAGAATTAACTTTAATTTAATTGGTCGAACATTCTATATTATAATTTTAATATGAAATTTATTTTTTTATAGCTTTCCCCCTTTCTCATTCGTTTTCGTTTTTGATAAAACCTTTTTGGATATGTTTCCGTTATGACACTTCTGTAACATCACTAATTCACAACAATTCCGTTTTCGAGACTTAATCATCTAATAGCTTAATAGTAAAAAATCTATGTATATCGATAACAACAAAAAACACTTTAAAGGGATAAATAAAACGGCAGGTATACTTATTAGAAAATATAACCATATTAGAACAAATAATGTTATGACGTAGTTACGAAATGATTCATTAATTCTCTTGTAATATAATATAAGGTTCATCCTCTTTAGTTATTAGTGTCTACCGACTGCAATATTGGTATAGTCCTTTAGAGGGATTACCAATAAATTAATGTCTTATTAATTAACTGTGCAGTTAAGTGTTACCTTAGTCGTTGTTCAACTATCATAACATAAACAGTGAAAATTATTTGTGACATATTTTGTTGTGATTTAGTTTTAAAATGAAGGCTTTAGAATTAAAAGCAATCTTAATTGTGTTCGCGATAACTTATAACAACGGAATGGCACGTCCAATGATTGACAACAGTATAGAAACAAGGAATGAGTACGTAGTAATATAAATTGTTGTTTTACATTGCCTTTTTGATGTAATTACTAATGTGATTATATTTTTGATTGTTTAGAATAAGCAGCGATGAACTCGAAAGTCTTGGTGGGATATTCAATATTCCCACGCCTTTGAAATCAGGATTTACAATATCAATAAACGGAACACTAGATACAAATGATAAATTGTAAGTTGAAACTGCTGTGATGTGAATGTGTATAACGTATAACATAAAAATATAAAAGTAAACTAAAACAGTTTTGTGAAACAGGTTTAAGGTTGTATTGCGTGGTAACGAGGAGAGGGAGGATGATTGCAAAATCGTGTTTGAATTTGAAAGTGGATATATTAGTACATCGAAGACAGTGCTTTTAGAGCGGGAAGAATATGTTCTCAATGGACAAAAAGGAAGTAAGTATTTTTATTATTTAACAGAAATAACGCTTAAAATGAGAGTATGTAACAGCAGCTTGAAGTAATTTTTTTTCAATGCAAATAAAGTTAAGGAGTACAGTTTCAATATGATTCTTAAGGTAATTTTCATAGGATAAGATCAAGATTGTTTAATTATCTTATATGATAAAAAGAGATAGAGAAAAAAGAAATTCGCTTGCCAAAATTGATTGCGATATCTATATAAAAAGAGTAATATAAAATACCTATAAGTGGTCACTGATTGACCTATTAAATAAAATCAGATGTGGATGATGTCAAAGTAAACAGCAAATAGTATAGATACCTGTCAATTTTTACTTGAAAAAATTTCTATTAAAATGAAATAACAACTTTTATTCATTAAATGACTGAAAGCAAGTATTGGTCTCTTAAACCACCTTATAGCAAATTGGCATTTACTTCTAATGAAAGAATTAGTTAATATAGATACCTGTCAGGCTAAGAGTTAAGCGTTTCTAATAACAAATCTTTACCACGATAGTAGATTTTTAGTAACTCTGTTTATTTAGAAGAAAGCAAATGATAACTCCTCATTTTCCAAAAGGCGTGCTCAAGGATCGAACGCACTAAACGTTCTAGCCGACTAAGTGTAAATATGTACTAATTTTTCTACCTGTTCTACCTTTCAGAAATATTTGAGCTACGAATAAGAGCGCGATCACAAGAAATGGTGTCTGTCACTTTGCAAATAAACAACCTCGGACAAAGCTCTGCCTTACTTTGTGATATACCAAACCACAAAAACATCAAATTTATTGAAATACAGAAAGGCGTTGCACGGACAGACAGATTTTGTTATTCTAATTCAGTTGGAATTCATTAATAATAAGTATAAATTAATGGTAGTCGTTATAAATTTTTAATTGATATTAATTGCATGTGATACAAATGATAAAACTGACATATCATTAGGCAATGACTGCCTTAATGTTCCTGGTGAATTTGTTCCATTTTAATGTATAGTCGAGTAACGTGATTGTTATTTACTTAATGCTAGTACTTAAATATTTTTAATTATCTCATTGTACAAGACTGTTATAGTTTTAATGTATAAATTATTTAAACGGCTGGTCCGATTAGAATAAATATAATTAAAGAATATTTTGAATATAGAAATGTGGTGTTTAATTTTAATCTTTTACGGAGAAATTCATATCGGAGAGTGTATGCCTTGTAAAAGTGGTTAAAAACCAAAGTGTTACTTAAATCAGCTTACATTTTATAGATACACAACAACATAAATTAAAATAATGAAATCAGTAACACCCATGTAATTCACTAGTATGAATTACAAAATTTAATTAACTTTAAAAAATAGGCATAGAATAGCATGTACATACCCTACATACATATCGGTTGAGCAACAAAAAGGTTAATTGTAAAATTTAGATAATTCCAGTTAATTAATTATAGATAGCTAAGGCGCTAAGAATAGAGACTTAAAATCACAGGAAGGATATTAAAATAATTCTACAATCTAAAATCCTTTATTTCATTTTTTGAAATATTTTTTAGGCTTTTAAAATACAAATTTCTTTCGTTTCTTAGTAAGCAATATATTTTCAGCGCCAATTTTGTATTTTAATTATATTTCAGTTTTAAGTTAAATAAATTATTAATTACTTAACAAATTTGTAAAATTCAACTTTTATTGTTTCTAGGTTATTTTATTAAGAGGGTCTCTGGGTTTATTCGGCATTAATAAATATGGTCTGTCTGACGTGTCTCCCCTTTTTTTGTGCGGAAATCTCGGATACCACCGTGGTGGTTATGTCAGACTCGAACCGACTAAAAACCGCACGACGCGCGATTGTGTTTTCAAGTCCATTTCCATTTTATAAGATAATATTTTAATTTCTCGTTAGTACTAAATTGCTGACAAGATACTTTATGAAAATAATTCTTAACTCAAATCAGCTGTTGTGGTACGAATGCTAAATATGTGAAGGTTAAACATACATTGTCTGTACAAAACGCACGTGCAGTAAAGTATGATGATAAATGGAGATTGCCTTACGTATTTAAGGCATAATAAACGGTTCACTACGAAAAAAAAAATAGATATAATTTTAGACCATTTTTGTTAACATTACTTAAATTAGCATTTTTAGAGTTTTTATATTTTTGTTAGATCTAAATCTAGTTTTCTGCGCAAGCGCAGGCGACCATTTATTAATCGATTGTGTTAGAAAAAAGGCCAAGATGTAATAACATTATAAAGTTGTCCTTAAAAAGAAGACTAAACTTGATTTTAGAACAAAAGATTTAGATATGTAGCTATAGTGAAAAAGCTTTGTATTTTTTCTTTTTTTCCTCGTGAAAAGTACTTTTTTCTGGATGAAAGTGCCCTATTCTTCATCCCTTACATTTTCCACAAATCTACAGGTTAATGCTCATAATGAGGTAAAAAACAAGGCTTAAAATTGAAGGCTTAAGAACTTCTTTTTTTTTACCAGAACCATTACTTCTAGAACCACTACCATCAGCCACTATCACCGAAAATATACTTTGATTTTGTCTTTATACTGATGATAATGCTAAAAGGGCTCAACAGAGGTCCTTCATCAGATAATAAAATGACACAAAGTAGGTACAGTTGTCATTGCTAATAAAAGACGCTCCAAATCTGAAATTTTTTAAAGTCGTCCGAAGCAGGGATGTTATAAGTTTTCTGTGTATTGTGTGTCTACTCATCAATACCTATATTTTAAAGGTGAAAGTGGGTTTGTTTGTTACGCTTTTACGTCTAAACCACGAAACCGATTTTAAAAATTATTTCACCAATGGACAGTTTCATCATGAGCGAGTAATAAAGGGTACTTTTTAGTAACTCTGACTCCTCCTAAGTAGGAGAACCATGCTTCCGCACAAACAGGCCATCTCGACTAGATACCACGGCCTCACGGAGTGAGGGAGGTTACCAGAGGTCATTATCCCCTCACCCCTCCCCTAGATTGAAACCGTAGTACTGAAATGTGCAAAAAGACTTTCCAATTACTATTTCACTGCACGGATGTTTTAAGCGGTGACCTATCCGCTTCCTACACTGAGTGTTGTGAGTTCGATCCCCACATGGTACAATAATATGTGATAATATAAAATAATATATTCTACCACATACACACAACGCCATCTAGTCCCAAACTAAGCAGAGCTTGTACTATGGGTACTAGACAACTGATATAAATACATGTATACTTATTTTTTGTAAATACATACTTATTATACATTGAAACACCCAGACCAAATCAAACATTAAATGTTCATGCACACAAATGTTTGACTTGAGCGGGAATCGAACCCGCGACCTTTGGAATAGCAGTCCGTTACACAAACCACTACGCCATCCGGTCGTCAAATTGTAATTCATATTACATTGATCCACAAATTGTTGTGAAATAAGTCATCGTCATCAGCTCTTTTCTAACTTTGATATTTTTGAGATATTTTTGAGTTTTAGGCATTTTCAATTTGTGCTTGTGAAATACACTTTTTTTAAGTGAAGATAGTTTTAGATGATGCACTTTGAATCAGATTCAGACTTTAAGATCTTCTGTAATTTACCATCTAGCTAGAATCTATCTACTTATCTATCATGGAATATATTAATGTTTCACCTGCTTAGCTATTTAATGTTCCACAGAAAGACTATAAGCGCGATAAGGTAAAATGTTGTCGATTCTGCTAATGACAAAGCGATGACCACAGTTACGAGTAATGTACAGTGTGACACACACCATAGCTGTTATTACTATGAGTGAATTACAGTTTTAGATAATTTAGTTTTAAAACAAATTTTAATTAATATATTTGGATTTTTTGATTCGATAGGTATTCTATTTAAAATCATGAAAATGCAGTTAAAAATTTCTTTGGTACGCGCAGATATCGCGCGGTTATCGCGGCAGTAAGACCCGTTATGGAGGATTGGCTCAAGAGGCATCACGGAAACCGTCTCATACCGGCTGACGCAGGTTATTACCGGGGAAGGATGCTTCGGATGTTTGATCCGCAAGGAGCCAACGCTTGAGTGCCACCACTGCGGTAGCCGGGCCGTGGATTCTCTCGCTCGGTCACATAATAATTTTACGGAGCGAGAGTGTGTGGAACTCCGCCGTCTCCAACTGCGTGCAAGTTATGCTTGCGAAGGAGGTACGACTGGAGGAACGGGATGGAAGAGGTTTAGAACTCTCCCGGCCCGTCAGGCCCGGAAACGGCTACCGCTACCGCAGACGACTCAGGCGCCGGAAGTCGCAGAGCGACCTCCGTCTTACATAAGCGCAAGCCTGGGGGTGACAGGTGGGGTCATCTGTCACCCTGGAGCACAAAGGGAACATGTGGGTTCTCACACAGGAGGAGCTCATCTACACGTCGTAGTTTACACGTCATTTTTGGTCGGTTCGAGTCCGACACAACCATGGTATCCGAGGGGATTTCTGCATAGAAAAAAAAGGTAGCGCAGATATAAAATTCAATAGGCGACGTCTAAGTACTTGATTAATTGTAGTACAATAAAATAATCTTCTTCCATATTAGGTATTCTGATGCCAATTTTCAATAAAGACATTTCCAGGAGAAAGTAGTTTTGTTTTTTTTAGTATTTCTGTTTTCTCTGTCTCATAATGATTTAATATTAGTAACGACATTATGGCAGTTCACCATTATTTAAATTGTTATGAGTAGAGTACTCATCGAAAAGTATTATACCGAAACGATACATTGTCACTTTTGTTTGTATATACGAGTAGGTATAGACAATTTATAGCCGGCTGTTTCTATAAAGCTTCCTAGCCTACGACAGACAGTTTTAAATTTCCGAAGTCCTAACAAGAAACCCCTTATATAAACTGTGACGGTTCTTTGTTAGAAGTAGGTAGGTAGTATTTTAGTCTTCATCACCCCACACACACACACACACACACACACACACACACACACACACATATATAAAGAGCCAACTATACCATATTGTAGAGTATCATTGGATAGGTCTTGAAAGACTGGAAAGACTATGAAGCCTATTTTTTGATCCAACGATTACTATTACTTTAAGGTAGTTTACGCTACGTTACGCTAAATAAGTTAACAAAATTAGAAAGAATAATATCAACCCCCGCTAAACTAGTTCTATTACTATAAGAGTAATAGTCGCCCAACTCATAAAATGTATGCACAAACTTCTTAGTAAAATTTGATACAAAATAAATTATCTTATGTAAACTACGAGTATTACCTACTTGGACGAGGTGGTGCTTGGTTGAAACACACACATCAACTCGCACTTGGCCTATTTTTAATGTTTATAGCTCTGTTTTTGCAGTCGTTTATTTTTTTTATTTTGTCCGTCTGATATACGAAAAACAAATTTTGCATGTATTGGGTCTATGCACTATTTAGAATGCAACAAAAAGCTAAAGCGTGTTCGACAAATGCTAACAGAACTCACACATGCGAACGATATTTTTTTTTTTAATATCCAATGCTGATTTCATTTTTTCGCACGTACTACATTTTTCCACGAGTCGTTATTGTTTTTGCACTGTCTGCTATGTGCTGTCTGTTTTGCTATGTGCCAGTTTTCCGTATGAAAATCCTAGCATATACTTACCAGGAATAAGCTACACACCTACAATTTTTATGTTCAGCATAAATCAATGGATCTAGTTACAATACATTACAACATATGTTTGCAGGCCCATTACTTGCGCAATGTGTATCGTACCTATATTTTGTACACCACCCCTTTTTACCACATTAAACGCAAATTAAATTATTCATTATTTTTAAGAACTGGGGCTATTTTACAGAGAGACTGCCTCTTTGGTGCAGTGGAAGCGTTATGCGACTGCTGTGCTGAGGTCTCGGGTTCGATTCCGAAAAAAAAGTATATAGGTATTCTATCAGTCAATCTAGCTTTCATAGTACCAGCTCTGCTTAGTTTGAAACTAGATGGCGTTGTGTGTCAGAATGTCAGAAATATTTTATTCATATTATGAAAATTAGATCGACTGATAGAATACTTATTTATTTACTTTTATTCGTAAATACTTGCAGAAATATTTGCAGATCATACAAACATTTGGCTCGACCCGGAAATCAAAATCGAGACCTCAGCAGAGCAGTAGCAAACCCTACCACTGCACCACTGAGGCAGGATAAGTACGATAATTTGTTCTGTGTCTGGATGTGTTTTATCTATGTATTTAGAAATATATGAGCCCGGTAGACGCCAATGGACTTGCCCCCTATTACGTAGATGGGACTAAAAATTACAGTCGCCACAATACGTGGGTGTTTTAATACGCCTCTATTTGCTTGTCCTTCGGGGATAAAATACTGGTGGTAAATGAGTGTATCATCTTAAGATTTCATCGTAAGAATGACGTCAGTCTACCCAATATAATTCAAAATCTTAACATTAACTCTATATCTATTAATCTAACAGATTACAGGCAGGGGAATTGACATGGATCATGTTGTAATGCGCTATTTATAAATGTAATAAATGTATGTTTTGATAGATCTAAACACAATATTAAAGTTTCAAAGCCCGAACAAAATACCTACTTATGTAGGTAAAAATACAACAAATCATTCTTAAGTGAGAAAAATAAGTGTGCATTTGCTTTCTGTATTGAACATATACCCTAAATATGTAATTGTGTATTCTTACTAATTAATTTACATTCTAATGATTTGTTTAAATACTTAAGTTAAGACAACAAGACAACTTACATTAAGACAATGATAGTACAACCCATCATTGTCTTAATAGTGATTAAATAAATAAAACAGTTGCCATATGCCACTTTTATATATGTATCTAATATACTAGCTGACTTGCAAGGGATCAATTTTACCCGTTTTACCCGTGCAACATTTTACAATGATACTCGACTCCTATTGGTGTTAGTGTGATATTATATAGCCTATAGCCTTCCTCGATAAACAAGCTATACAACATTAAAATAATTTTTCAAATCGAACCAGTAGTTCTTGAGATCAACGCGTTTAAACAAATTCTTCAGATTTAAAATATTAGTAGATACACAGGTATTTATTACGTAAGTATGGCCCAATCTGTATTAGTGATAAATATATTACAAAATGTCCTTTGGTGTCTCACTTTTATGTCAACAGTTACAGTAATATTTTTCTTACTGTCGTACTGAAAAATGTAGAAGGAATTTTACAAGACGTGACTAGCAACAGTACTTCGAAATGTGATTTGCCTATTTCGCTCGACGCTGACGCACGTGACCAACATTCGTTAGTGTTGTTGTTGGTACTCACTTATTAACGGTTATAGGCGTCTGGTGTACAATTCCAAATCTAAATACCTATACCCTTAGATTAACGGTAATAGGTCGCGACTTGTCAATTGTAGCAAAAACCTGTGAAAAATAGCCGATAGTGGCAGATAATTTCGTGGCTATGGTCAAGAGCACTGTACATTGTTTAAAACAGATTGCCTTTTTGCAATTATAAACAGTGGGTCCTGAGAAAACTTCTCAATAAATGAGGCATATATTCTAGCTGCGGCAGTAGAAACAGTCCTCGCCCGATAATTGAGTCCGAGAAGTCAGAAAGCTGCTCGCACACCTACACTTCACTTAGAAGAAAAAGTTTATTCTTAAAGAAGAAGTTTCCATCTTTTTAGGAATTAACAAGAGTTTATCATGCACCTGTCAAATGACAGTCAGTCCACCCTGTGCAATGTAAAATGCAGCTAAAAAAACTATAGGCATTTTTCGTAAGATCAGTATCGTGTGATGCGGTGCTTCAGCAAGTGACGCCACTTGACCTAGACGACCGGTTCGTATTATTAATTCACGGCACTCAGAAGTTATTATCGCGTTATATGTCGCGTCATATTTGACCCAAACATAACATACATGCACTACAATTTAAATAAAAAATTGTAATAAGAAATACGTTACGCAATGGATAATAAAAAATACAACAAATTTAAGTAATATAAAATATAGGTATTCTACTATAGACATTGTTGTGGTTAGAACGTCCCCTTAAATCGCTACCTAAATCTACAAACAAATGTGAAATAGAAAGAATAACTTTGAAATACAGCTTTCTAATATTTTGATCTGAAGTTGTCTGAAAGAGACTACTTTTCACCGTTAAATGGGAAGTGATAAATTTTAAAATTCTCTAAATCTCTGTACAATAAACTTATGATTATAAATCTATTTGGGCATATACAAATATTAGAAATCGCTGTGACTGTTTATATTCATGATTTCATTACTTAAAAGCGATAACCCACATTCTTTACCTACGTTTCAGTTTATTATTTTGAACTCCTGTCTTTTTACTTACATACTTATATTGCCAGTAATTATTTCGTATCTTAGTTTCATAATTTTGCAGAAACAAGAACTGCAACGTTATTTGCTATTTTCTCGAAAATAACTTTTTGGGTTTAACGGTTTTTTGACTAAAGGACTCTGAAAGTCTGATGTATGTATTTACATTAACAGTAACAATGGTGTAGAAATGTACTGCACTATCAATCGATCTATTTTTATTCCTTTAATCTTTTAATCATAGTCAACTATTTACATAACTTTCCCATTATTCGACTTGAATGCCATTTAAGTAGTATAAAATATTATAACGCAGAAAAACATGTAACTCATTGTCATACCAAATAACCGGTATTCGGTCCGTTACCATAAGCACCTATGTAAAATGGTGCAAAATATGAGATCATAGACTTATAGATTATAATACCTCGTTTAAATATTCCATAATGTTTATAAAAAAAATATGTAAATATTCCAATTTTTTTTATACGTTTCTCGTTACGTACAATCTTAATGATCCCAATTAATTATCTCTTAGCTCTATTGTCCGTTATCATTATCCTCACTCATCAGGATATATTAGTAAATATTTAATACTGTGTTTAAACACACCACAGAAGCTAATAACTATTAATGAGTAGAATTCTTTAGACAGTCATGTAGCATCTGATCCGATCGCTACACGTGTATTAAGAAAACTGTACAACTGAGTGCAGACAAGTGTAAAATATCGATTCAAACAAAAGTGTTAGTGTAATTTCGTTGAACCTCTAACATCGAGGTCGATGCCTGTTTCTTTTCGTCGTTACGTCATCACAAAACCGCTACAAACACAAATCTGCCTACTTATAGCATTAAAGAAACGAAAACTTGTAAAGGTTAGACGTGTTCTTAATAAAATGCTAAAATAAATTGAAGATGGCGAAATCGTGTTGGGATTGTATATTCGGGTATAGTATCAATTAGTGTTTTTTTCCTTAAGGTGAATTTGATCGAATGTGACAAGTTTCCTGTCGCTTAAGACACCTAATTTCTTTACAGTATGTTGCCAACTGTGGCATACTCGTACTCACCTTCCTTCTATTAAGACTAACTTCAAGACGTATTTAACTGAATTCAGTATTACGTATGATAATTTATTGAAATCTTACGAATGTTGCTCAAAGATTTAAATGATAGGCTATTCACGCACATTGCAGCCATATTGGTTGAGTATCTCTTTTGTTTCAGTTAAATTTATATACGAAAATGAAAAAAAAAACGAAATATCATCGTTGTTTAATTTTTTTTTATTTCTTTCTTTGGCATACACTTTTTGTACATTTCGTTTCTACCGCAACAATGTTTTTAAATAATTACCTTAACGGTGTTTTCCTTAAAAACATCTATAAGAACGCTTGTAAGAGATATTAAAAATTGGTAGTATATGCAAAAATCTGTAGGTATTGATTTTATACGGATACTCCGGCGATCACCCTAAGAATCGTTACTTTTTTATTTAATTTTATCCGTTTATATTATATACAAATTCATATTGTCTAACTAATTATAAATACTATCAAAAGGGGAGCGCGCATAGAAGAAGCCTCCAGTGTCCATCTGAACTCGTACACACACCAGGCGCCTCCTTGGCCAGAGGCCAAGTACAAGAATGAGAAGATGTTTATTTTACCTAAGATATTAAGTACAAATGACACAGTTATGATAACAGGCACGACATTCGACCAACGGGAACGGTGAGTAAAACAATTGTTTTTGTTTTTATAACATTTTAAGGACATAAAACACAAAGATGCCTTAAAAGGAACATTAAAATAACGTAAAATTATTTCATTATAATAGCTGGTATCGTTATCTATTCTGTGAAGACAGCACTTAATGGCAGTTCTTAATCCAAATTCAATGGGTTTTCTTTATAAAATAAATAAATATTAAAAGCCTAATATAATTATATTATTTATGTTTAGGAACATTGAAGTCTATTTACAGTTTCTTTTTATCTTAACAAAATATAAAATATAGACCTTGTAATATTCTATAGTACTAATAGCGGAACAGCAACAGGTGGTTACTATTATTAGTAATTGTTGACAAATAATTTAGTCCTGTCCGTGTAGTGGCGGATTAAGTGTTCGTGTAGTGACGGATTAAGAATACGGAAAGTCACTACCCCATCTCATCCCGTGGGTGTCGTAAGAGCCGACTAATGGAGCAAACTACGCAGGAAAACAGCACTGCAAAAAGAAGAAAAACTTGACACAAACCCTTTACCAACCCGTCTGGCCAGCGTGGTATAGGAGGCCAAAACCTCCTGTGTAAGGAGAGGCCTATGTCCAGCAGTGGACTATTAAAGGCTGTTGATGTGATGTGATGTAAATTTAGTCCAATTTAAATCTACGAATGCAAATAACCGCATACCTTATTTACTTTTAATTATCCATTATCATTACTCTATTTGTACTTCGCAGTTCAGTGCATCACCGTTAGAAGATATTGACGTATGTTTTGTATGCATGTAGATATCGCTACACAAAATTGATTTCCACAGTAAGTTAGAGGAAAAGCTAATAACAGCGTCTTAACAAATGCACAGAGTCGTTAAATACTAGTATTTGTAATATGACGTTACAAGGCCAATTAACATTTTCACTTTTAAGTATAATTCAATACATTTTCTTTCAGGTTGTCGATCAATTTAATAACTGGATCGGAGTCAGCAGATCGTTTAAATATTGCCTGTCAACTGGACATACATTTTAATGACCCAGTTAAAATATCAGTACAAGTTGTAAAGAATGGACAAGCTAAACCTGTAAATGATGAAAAAGCTTCTACAATTTCTTTTGAACGGAGTGACGGTAAAGAATTGACCTAATTCTTTCATTTGACATCTATTTAGCCCATTTTTTACGGTGGCAACACCGGTGACGGATTAAAAATACGGAGGGTCACCACCTATTCATCACGGGGGTGTCGTAAGAGCCGATTAAGGGAGTAAACTACGCAGGACAATAGCACTGCAGCAAGCACAGCAAGAGAATGAAAACTTGAAACAAATCCTATACTAACTCGTCTAGCCAGCGTATACCACGCTTATACCACGTATTACCACGGGTTGGTATAGGATTTGTTTCAAGTAGGTAGGCCAAAACCTTATTTCTAAGGAGAGGCCTGTGTCCAGAAGTAGACTAGGAGAGCTGTTGATGATGACAAATAAGCGAGCGCGGTAATAGATGTCAGATTTCATTTGTGTGTCACTTCATTTGTGACTATTGTAAGGCTCCCTAACTTTTTAATGTTCCTTTATACTTATGATACCTAGTAATCCTAGAAACTTTTAACAGTATGTAATATTTTTTATTGCAGATCCTTTATCTTTCCAAGTAATGTTTAAAGTGAGATCAGAAGAAATAATGGACATATTTGTAGGCCCATTTAAGGATATACAAAAAGTACAAAGTGTTGAATTGCAGCATCATCTAAAAGAAATTAAATTCTTAACAGTTCTTGGTGACGTAAACAAAGTTTTAAGACTTGATTTTAATTTCGGATTAAATCAGTCGATAGATAACATTAGAAGTTAATTATTGGTGCAAATTTGAAATGACTTGCAGAAATAGCAGCTGTATTATCATGTAACAACTCAGAATGTCATAGGCACTAGGAGTGATAGTTCTGAACCGAGTTCTACCCACCGCAACCTGTTCACAGTATTCATATCAGCACAGCCGTACCAATAGTAAATCACAGTAAAACGTTGAAGAGACTGATATTGTGTTTGGCAAGAAGTAGTAGAACTTTTTTTTTCTAAAATTATAAGAACCTTTTATGTTCTTACTAAAATAAAAATTAGAATACAAAATGTACACGGTGTATAAGGTCCATAAAAAAAAACTTTGAACTACACTATTTTTCTACATAATTAATAGTCAACACTTAAATCTTACTATTTTAAATCAATTATTCTAAATTTAATGTTATGGGAAGTCAAATCAGTTACTTTTTAAGACCAAGTTCAGATGAAGATGAAGGTCAATCAACGTGCATTGCAGACGTTTTCAATTAAACAATGTGCTTTTAATTGAAAAAAATGAGTCATTTAAATACAAGTCCTTGAAACATTTTTACATAGTTTGACACGGACATGAGGTTTCCAACTCATATAAGACCGTAAACAGAAACAAGCTAATTCTTGCAAGAACTTTTATATTTATCGTGTATTTTATTGTTAAAAATTAAAACATAAATATAATTAATTTATTTTTTAATAAGATTAACAATGGATGCGTGTTCACTATAACATAATATATGTTTTAATTACCTTTTAAGTCTCTTGTGTGCTATTATATTATTAATAGATGGCCTATTATTGTATTAAATTCGTCCACATTTATCTGTAAACGTTATTTTAGTTTTTTGTTATATTTGTTATTACGTCATACCAAACTAAATATTATAATTAATATAAGTGATTAAACATGTTACATACATATTGTGTATTTCTTCTTAATGTGGATTAGTATTACTGATAGACCGCTTGTATCTTTTTTTTCCACATGCAAAATACTAAAGCTTTTTATCACACAGTATCAGTATCACACAGCTCGTGAAATCAAAGAAATCTCAATTAATGTATCATTAATTTAATGTATCAACTCAACATGTAACATGCTATGTGTAAACATAGCATTAAGGTTATTCCGCTGTCACAGTACAGATATAACTTTGGACTAACTTTTGAAAAAAAAAAAGGCTGGGCTTAGTAAATCTGATTTTCTGTAGACTGAAGGAAGAGTCTGTCGTTTGCCCCTAACAAACGACAGACGGGTCACCTGATCTTAAGGCGACGTTCTTCTTTTTTTTTATATATTAGAGGGGGCAGAGGAGCAGACGGGTCACCTGATGGAAAGCGACTATCGCCGCCCATGAACGTCTGCAACTCAGGAGTCACAAACGCGTTGCCGGCCTTTTAGGAAGGAGTACGCTCTTTTCTTGAAGGTTTGAAGGTCGTATCGGTCCGAAAATACCACAGACGATAACCCGTTCCACAGATTGGTTGTGCGGGACAAAAAGTGTCTCGAAAAGCGCACAGTAGTGGAGCGCCAACTATCCAGGTAAGGTGAGGCCTTCGAGGTCATTTCGGTCGAGCTACTTCGTTCATCTCCCGCGGCAGGTGTATATGTAAAATTTCTTACAAATCCGTACCATTAGGCGAATTCGATCTTACATAAACTATAAATATTTCTTTACTATTAAGCTTTTATTTTTTAGAACTTGTCTATATACTCGTAATAATAGAAAGTGAACCAATTTTAAGTATAAAGTAAACTCTGGTAGCTGGCCAACGAGTTTAGCATTATGTTCTTTTCAAAATGAGTTTTGTGTAAATAAAGCCCACGTATGTTTACATAATATCATTTAGTAGGCAAATAGTTGCTCACAGTTTATTGAAATGTTATATTTAGCTTTTTAAACCCCATTAGAAATATTTCTATTAATAAACTAGTAAGTATGTGTTATTATATTCATGTCACGGTTAACCATACACACACGTCTCTTGAAGGGGCGTGTCTGGATATTTTTTTATTTATTTGGTGACGGAGTGGAAAATTTCTTTGGATCGCCGTCTCCTGGGGGACGTGTGGCGTTTCCACCAAAACCATGTGATTTCAGGTCCCGCCGCGCCTTACCAGGTCCTATCTGGGGAAACAAGTTTTCCCCAGATGTTATCTACCAAAAGAGTACTTACAGGAACATAAACAAAGTCAAGGACTTTAGGTCAACTAAGTGATGAACAGATTCGTTGTTACGAGTGTCTATTTTACGCTATACCTATTTAAAGTGTTTAGTGCTACTTACTGCAAAAAAAATACAATTCAAACTAAATACAGTCTACAGTAATTCTAAATGGTGGAGAGACTAGTCCAATATTATAATTGCATAAAAGCGAACTTGAAGTTAAAACCAATAGGCTTTTAATTAAACCGATCGTCCTCACATTAAATCTCAATAAGAAAAAAGATATTATTTAATATATCTCTGAATTGGAGAGTAACTTGTAAAGGCGTAACATATGTTACTGATATTAAACACATTTATTTCTTTGTGAAACTCCATATATTTAACCCTGTGAAACTGTTAGTCTAGCGGTTAGTTTTCCTGAGTGAGATCGTGGATTCGATTATAGTAGGCAAAATGTGGGCGTTAAATACACTTCTGTCTACCCTTTCGTGGAAAAAGACGTGAATATAGCGACAAACGAGTAGACGGGTCACCTGATGGTAAGTGAATACACATACAACTCAAGAGTCACAAGTGCGATGGCGCCCATTTTATTCCTCCAAGTGATCGGGGTTTTGGCTCTGGTAATCTCACTCACTCGGTGAAAAGCAATCAAAGAACAGAGGGCCAAGTGCAAGTTTATTTAATTTCTACTCGATCGTCAAGGTGATCGCGTTTGGCGCTACGATTGGCCTGCACTGAAATCTCCACCAATCGCAACGACAAACGCGCTCGCCTTCGAGAGCGAGATGTGAAATAAACTCACACTTGGGCCTCGCTTAACACCGGTTTTCTGTGAGGCCGTAGTATCACCTTGGACGACCCTGGCCCATGTGTGCCGAAGCCATGTTCTCCAACGACAGTGTTTCGTGAAAATGTTATTATTAAAATTAGATAACACACATAAGTTACTGGTGTGTCACACACAATGCAATACCTAATACGAGTATGTCAATCGTGCGTGTTTACTTGCTAAATAAGACACTGATAAAGTGTAAAATGAGGTACACATATTCTCCGAATCTTTCTTTGTTGCAGATTATAAGGAACAGTCAAACATCAACCCGGAGTATACAGTATAGTATAGATGGGACCAAATCACAGTGAACTGTGAATGACCGGTGATTTATCATTCGATTTTTTCGTACGTAAAAGAGGAAAGGAAAGAAAAGAGGTTTCTAAAGTCAACAAAAAGTACTAAAAAATGAATGATAACATTATTAGCATTACGTTAAAGTTAGTTATTTTTAGTAGTCTTTCTACCCCTTTTCTACGCGAAAGGGTATACAACAAAACAGAAATCACGTCCACATTTGCATTCCCATAAATAATGACCTACAAATAGAATCCAACCTCTGTAGGTAAAAATACCTCAATGAATGAACACGCCTATAGGAGATACGCTTAATCGCATCCACTAATAGGTCTTTGAAATTACCAATTTCTTAACCTTCACGGATGTTAAGAGATAGAGTCTTCTTAACCTGAATGACTACGAGTTATGTCACCTCAAGCCTAAAAATAATCGACCATTAACTCTAACTAACAGGCCCAAGTCAAGATATTTTCTAATAGACTCTGTTCTACTAGAAAATAACTCTTTACATCGTTATTTAATAGGCAGATTAGTCATACCATTGATACAATCAACATAGATATGTATATTGGGATTGGTTTATCAGCTCTGTAATCTTTAAAAATATATCCTATCAGTCGTTTACAAATAACTGATAAAATATTTAGTAAGTACATTGTCTAGTTGAATTTTATGTACAGTTCATGAAAGACGTATGTACCATTATTACGTTCTTTATTGGCATTTACGAGGAACTCAACGCAAGGAAGGAAAATATTTTGTGTCTATAGGGTCTTCATATAAGATGCTAGTGAAGAAGAAACCTAAGTAAGTAATTAGCAGTCATGGCATATCGCACATATAGCACACCAATATTGTAAAATGCTGTAAATTAATTTAAAAATAGATATTGAAATCACAATCTTAGTCATGAATTTTCTTTGTCAATTATTGGTCCATGAATCTTAAAAAATCTATTTACATTGTAATATATTTTTAATGAGCTGTTATCATTAAGTATTATCGCTAATCGAGATATAAACAAAGAATATGGAGACTAAATAATATTTAACACCAGACTCTCATGCGAATAGGATCGTGCGCGTAGAATTCTTTAGTCCAGTTTTCGTGTAGCATCTGATTAGATCGTTACATGTTCATATTTTAATCCACGAGTGTACGACCAACAATACCAAACCAAGTGCAGTAAAGAGCGAAATATCGAAGCGAACCTACGTCTCAGTGAAATGACGTAAAACCTTTTAACTTCGAGGTCGGTGCCTGTTTGTTTTTATCATTACGTCATATTAAAACAGCTTCAATCTCAGATCTAACTCTACTCTACTCTAGCATTCTCGATGAAACATTGAATCTCGTAAACGTCTGACGTGTAACAAAATTGTGTGTTAAAATAAATTGAACATGTTGAAAGCGTGTTGGGATTGCCTAATCGGGTATGACTTAATTAGGTATTTAAAAAAACTCGTTTTCTTATACACGTATAATTCGAAATCACGCGAGTTCCGTTATAATTGTTTATTGAACGTAACACTTTTTTTCCGACATACTTTTTTCTAAGTGTCAATGTCATGATGAAATACCGGAATTCTGTCATGCTATCAAACTTCAAACAGTTTACGTCAAAGTGAAGGCATAATACATAAAATAAAGTTTATTTATTGTTAAAGAAATATAAAGGGAGGGAAAGTTTTAGGAAAATACTTAGTCACTATCATTATACGGAAAATGTGTAGAAATTATCGACGTAGGCCACGAAATAGTGTACATATAGGTTATCAAAGCAATCTTTAATAGTTAGTTCTGCTGTGAAATTTAACTTGTGTGTGCCTGATATATTTAAATGGTAACAGAGACGGAAGGCGCGGTGAAGACCCATACAATATCCAGCTAAACGGGAACACAATCCGGGCTCCTCCTTGGCCAAAACCGCAACTTAAGAACGAGAAAATGTTTGTGTTACCGAAGAAATTGGGTGTCCATGATACAATTGGTATATGGGGAATCACATTCGAGCAACGACAACGGTAAGTAATAACATATTATTATCGATATCTTATAATTTTCGAAGGTATAATAACAAATATTGTTTAATATAAATGATGTTATCTGTTTATATTGTTGACAACTTTAATCAATTTACAGTTAGATATCACTATGGTTCCATACTCACAATTCAGTTAAGTAGTAAAGTTTATAAGCTACAGTCAGCAACCATTGCAAATAGCAATTAATCGGTTTTGATAAAGTTTCATTTAAGTGTTAACAAACGCAAAAAATGATTCACTTTGGTACTTATAGATGAACAATGTACTAAATTTTTCTGTTCATCTATATTAAGTGTTATAGTGAGTCATTTCGAGCTTTTTATTGTGTAACTACAGATTTTAGGTACTCCGAATATATCCTCACTAATCAGATATTTGAACCTTAAATAATTGCAATATATTTTTTCAGATTGACAATTAGTCTAATCACTGGATTTCAATCACCAGATTATTTAAATGTTGCCTGTCAATTGGACATAAACTTTTATGATCCAAATAAAATACTTGTACAGGTTATACAGAATGGATATGCTGAGACTGTTAATGACGAATATGCAGCTACTGATTTTTTTTCAGGTAGAGTTGATAATATTTCATTCTTTATTTATTAACTTTTACTGACGTTGTAATTTAGTTATTTCTCTTTATTGTACACTTTTAAATAATAATAGAAAAGACATTACATTCATAAAGGTATATCTATTGGCTGTCTTATTACACATAGTCAGTTTTATCCAAATAAATAATTTGTGCTTCATAGTGTCAAAATGATTATTGTTTTAGTCATATAAATTTATTTAAGCGCATGATAAAAACTTATTTAACTACAACTTTTCTTCTTGTAATTAAATATAACTTTTCTTTAGCAGATCCACAATCATTTGAAGTGAAGTTTAGAGTGAGATCAGAAGAAATAGTGGATGTGTTCGTTGGTACATCACATTTAGAAAGTGTTGAACTGAAACATGATATAAATGAGATCCGGTTCTTAATTGTTCATGGTGATGTTGAAAGAGTGTCAAGACTTGATTTCAATTTTGCTTAAAATATTTGTGTTGTGACAATGTTACAAGTGCAGTTGGAAGTGATAAATGTAAATGATCTATCAAATCAAGCATTTAAATTACAATGTAATAGAAGGTAACACCTATAAAATTAAATAAGCCCTAGTATTAGACTATATTGTGCATTAATTATGTGAAAAAACTGCCTGAATGTCACAGACTCTAGCAGAAGCCAAGCGAAGTTTTGCTATACCAAGAAACATTACATTTTGAAAACTTAGGACAGCTATAGATCAAACGGGTCATAGATAGAAAAACATTCCAATTTTTAAGATGATTGTTTGTTATTATCACCGAGATATACACACATCACACACACACACACTTTGTTATATCTGTGACTTTCAGAGCATTTTTATTTGATGTTGTTGCATATATTGCACTTATAAGATAAAAAATACTATAATGAATCTAATTTGTTGACAAAGTTTTTTTTTATTGGTGATTTATATTTTGGTCATAAAACTAACCTTAGAATTTAGATTGAGTAACTATGTGTCCACTATTTTTCTATTAATATAAAGCCATTGTTTTGTTAGTTATGTAGGTAAGATTCTCATGTATTCATTATCTTGTTTTATGATTTTTGTATGTAAATGTTGCCTTAGTATTAATTAACTAGTTAGATGGGTAACTTTTATACAATCACTAACAGTATTACAAAGAAACTTAGGGCAACTAAAATACAATAGACAATACTTGTATTAGTGAATATGCATAATATGTATTTGTTACTGTCAGAACTCTTAATAGTATTCAATAGTATTTTTGTATACCAGCATTGGGAAAGAGTACCTTTGACTGCTGCATCAGGTATCATATACTATTTTCGAATTGTTTGGTTTAAGTTATTACATATACATGTATAGTATTATGTACAGTTATTGAATTTATAGGCGTTATTATGATTCGGCGAGCGCGTTGCGAAGCGCGCTCGCTTCCAGGGAGCACAGGGAACATGGGGTTCCCACACGGGGGGGGGGGTCGTCTACTCGTCTGTAGATGATCCGAGGTATGTCGGGGCACCAAGGACCTGGTATACCTGGTTCCCCGGCTATTAGTACCCGAGAAGGCGTGCGGTTTTAGTCGGTTTAAAAAAAAAGGCCTTATTATGATTATGGCATATTTCTACTAATGCAACTATAATTCTTTATATTAAATCATATTTAGTAACGCAATTATTCAGGCTTAATATGTGTTGTAATATTTATAAACATTTGTTTGTTTTTAGTTTATTAATTTGTTATGTCTTAGTCATTAATATCCCACCAGATATCTTTATTGTTTTAATTTATTGGAACATTTTTAATGCTTCAAGAGTACAAAACCTGGTGCATCACAAACTGTTTCTTTGAAATTTTTACTTTATAATCACAAATGTAACCAAATGCAACTCAAAGTGAAAAACAAGCCTCATGAAGGCTTTTATTCTTATTAAGATTACCCATACCAGAAACAGGATTTAACTCAGAGACTATTCTTGTATGGTTATTTTTATTTACCTACTTGAAATCATATGTGCCAGACCCAGCCCAGGCTGAGATCATGACTCGCATGAGTCTCCCTTGAATCTGTCTTTGCCATTTATTAGTTATTTTCTGTAATTGACATCCTACCTACATTGTATTGTAATCACATTCTCATGTCATAGAACTACATTGAGGGGTTGTAAACTCTTAAGTACATACGTGACAAATATTACTTATATTTACTTGGGTATTTCAAATTTAAATAATTAATTTGATGGAATATAATGAGCCTTACAATCAAGTAGTGTTCACGGACATCTGGACTAGCAATAGCATGCAAATATGTTTTGTTTGTTTATTAGGTTTGTAAATTGACATTAGTAGGTAAACAATTGTTTTAAACTACATAACTGTGTAATGGAACATCGTGGTACATCTTTTAATAAAATAGCTACATTCTTTTAAATAATTGTAAATCATCACATTTGAATTGTTTACTAGTTTACTATGATATAGAATGTTGTCAATGACGTAAATGTAAATTACATGAATGAACATTTTCCAGTGTTTATTTTTATTTTCCTGTAATATTTAATTCATAAACATACGGAAACAACAATAACAAATAAATTCTATGAAAATAAGAACACTAGGTGACTATCCCACATGTTAAAAACATCCATATCTTCATTTTTATCCTGATTTATTTGCATGTTAACTTAATAATCTATACTAATATTATAAAGCTGAAGAGTTTGTTTGTTTGTTTGTTTGTTTGAACGCGCTAATCTCAGGAACTACTGGTCCGATTTGAAAAATTCTTTCAGTGTTAGATAGCCCATTTATCGAGGAAGGCTATAGGCTATATATCATCACGCTAAGACCAATAGGAGCGGAGCACCATAGAAGAATGTTTCAAAAACGGAGAAAATTTATTACTAATGAGAGACGCAGACGAAGTTGCGCGGGTCAGCTAGTAGGATATAAGACTTAATTATATATATATCCTTCCTATCCTCATCACATGTTTAGAATGTTTTTCCTTAAAGGCTGCCCTATCTTAATTAAGTACTATCTAAGTAACAAATTCGATTTGACATCTATAGGACTTTAAGGTCTATATAAATGTTTAAAATTATACCCCAAGATCACGGAAGACCGAATTTCAACGGTATTTTTTTTCAAAACGCATACCTATTAGGTAAAGATAAACTAAAAAGTAAAAACCTCATCTGAATACAAATTAACTATCAAGCGTTTGAGACATTATTTTATTGTTATATAATATAATTCAATAGAAGATACCAAAATAAAAAATAAATGAGAAATAGATACGTACTTATTACGTACACAATTAAAATGTTACAATATGTGAAATATTTGTAGTAACTAATAATAATAATAATGTAGGCGTGCGATGTATAAATATTTATATGATGCATAGTAAAGATCCCTGCGTTACATAGTCAAGTATAATGTACGATATCTTCAAATAAATACTGTAGTTTAAGTGGTAAACAATTGAACAACTAGATAAATCAACTTCCAACTCTTCAAATAATGATTCAGAGATAGGTAAAGGTACTTTTATATCTATATTAAGAAGCTGAATCATCAGTCTAGGTGCACACAATGTAGTTGAAGCGTAGTACCACATTTAAGCTGTGGCAATGCAGACGATTAAACAATGCATTAAAATATTAAAACAATTTAACATAAGGTAAATTTACTATTGAATGCATTACGAAAAAATATCTAGATATAAACATTTATGCAGTCATATTATCTAATTACACCAAAAAAATACCCGAAAAGGTAGTAGTCAGACAGTGTAATATCTCGACTTCAGGGGTGTTAAGCGGAAAAGTGTTGCATAAAGTAACCAATTGCTGTCCCAGTTCTAGTGACGGCTGTTGGTGTAATTGGAACAACATGACAGATTTACGGGTACCTTCGTTTATTTTAATGGGACTAATCTCTTCGACAACACCTATCCGTTTTCCTTACCCCAATTGACCTTTTTTCTTTGACCTGTCTGCAAACTATTACATTATCAAGGACGGTTTTTTCGGTAAATGAACAGAATAATATTAAAAAAAATTACTTCCGCTAATCTTAATAAATGAAATAAGAATCTGATCGCATATAACGCAGGATCCATAGAGTTGAGCTCATCATATCTATGAGAATCAATTTTAAATCACACGACATGACTGTTTCGTTAAAGCCGTCACCTGTTTTTAGTCTTGTGGAATTATTTAACGTTAATTTTTTTCTTAAGGTACCCACGAGGTGATTTATTTTTTATGTATCAATCTACTAAGTAATGCCCTTCCCCTCCCTACTCAGTATTTTAGAGGACCTAAACAATTAGCTATCTCTTGCTATGTATGACAATGATACGATACAATGAAAATTACAAAAAAGGTTCCTATACACGAAATAATTTAAGTCAAGTTGAAAATAGATTTAGCAAGCAGAGTAAGACAACGCATTTAAATTTATTTATTTTTATTAAGGGAATGAAATTATTTGTGAATTCTATTTGACGTGTAGGGGAGCCCATGATGCTAAATGGGGAATTACTCAAGGTATGGTGGACCTATTGCATTTGAAAGATTAGGTAATAGAATGAATAAACGCTATATAATGTTTCCACCTGCAGCGGTGGGGTTTCCTCTTGGCGCAAAACTTCTGCGGGCGTATTTCAGGGCAGCGTGTTATCACCGTTACATTTTGCAATTTTCATTGACACGAATCACAAATCAATTGCTATCCTCCTACCATCTTTACGCAGATGATCTCCAAATTTACTCACAAGCTACTCCAGATAATTTAACAAAGCAGTGGATGCCATTAATAGAGACTGGACGTATGGACTAAGTGTAAACCCAACCAACACACAAGTAATTATTGTAGGTAGTCCCAGGCTGCACTGTAAAATAAACTTTCAGCAAATACCAGTTGTTTGTTGCAATGCCTAGGTTGTATCTTACAGTGAAAAAGCTAAAAACTTAGGGATCTATATGGATTAGATCCTATCCTGGGTTTGGAGAAGTTAGCCGCAAACTATTTGCAGCAGCAGGATTTCTGCAAAGGCTACGGAACTTCCTTCCCACCAATACTAAAATTGCGCTCGCACAATCTCTTCTTCCCATCCTTGACTATGGCTATGTCAGCTATTTGGACCTCACCGAAGACCAACTGAATAAACTTGAGCGACTCCAAAACTATGTATTAGATTCATATTTGGATTACGCAAATATGATCACATCTCAGAATATCGTTCTAAACTCAAGTGGCTACCGATAAGCTTTCGCCGGAATCATCATATACTTTCTCTTTTATACAGCGTTCTGTTTCATCCCCACAGACCCTGTTCTTACACAACACAATCCAGGCACCTGAGGACAGCGGAGAATTTAAAACTAAAAATGTCTCAACATTTCACCCAGTTTGCAGACAAATCTTTTACTGTGCAAGCAGTAAGACTTTGGAACGACTTGCCTTTGACAATCCGATAAGCTAAAACCTTGCCAAAAAGTAAGTAAAGGATTTGAATTAAGGTTCCGTATTAAGGTTGTCTGTAAGAGATCGCTGTGAGCGATAAGACCGCCGATTGTTACGTCTATATATATGTAAGTAACTTATGTGTTAACTGTATACAATAAAGATATATAAATAAAAATAAAATAAAAAGCTACAGGTTTTCAAAAATGTAAGGGGAGGAAGAAAAATCGGGCCTATCAGATATTTTGGGGATATGTTATTTGGACGCCATAATCCTCCCATTGAAAGGTCTGACGATTTTAGTGACACAAGCTGGTAGCGAATTATCAAAAATGCAAACTGTAAATTTGAAAAATCGCCCTTTCGAAATGCCCGAGCGTGTTAGATTTTATACAGACGGTTCAGATTGATGTTCCTATCATACTAGCCAAAAATCTGACGATAATTTAGCAGGGTATTTTAAATATGACGGTTTGAAATATTTAATTTTTTTGCTTTTTTATAAAATATGACAATAAAGGCCCGAAAAATTAAGTAGACATTTAAAAAAGGTTTCTTGCATTGTTTGCTTCAAAATAATAATAAAATGTCAAGGTCATGTGTCTCCCACGACTTCGTCACACTCAAATTGACAGTTTTTTTTAATACTATTAACTAATGTGTATGTAATCGAGTGATAAGTAGGGCTCATGTATGGTGGAGGCACTCAACTAAGTGTAAAGTATTCCGCCTATGTTAATCTGCCACGCTCGACTAAATACCGAAATCCCTTCTAGGGCTCCCCTACTATAACATATTTCGACAGACATAAACGAGGGCAATCTTAACGTTAACAATGACTTGGAGGCTATTAACGGTTGGGCTGATAGGTTCGGTTTGGATGTAAAACCAGCGAAGTGCCAATAGGCAGTCAACGTATGACTGGAAGATTAGACAAAAATAAACTGCCACCTATTACTTTTAACGGCGTAAGAATTCCCTTCAGTCCCTCTGCTAAGAACCTAGGCATATTTATCAACTCCAAGCTCAGCTGTGTAACAACTTCAGCAATGTTTATAATTAAAGTAAACATTATGAAAATTAACTTAGTTAACTTTAAATATTATCTACAACAGTATTAGAATGAAAGCCTTAGATATTTATTTAAGATAAACCGTTTACTCCCGTATTTTAATGCGGCGTCTAACACCGTCACGGCACTACTTGAACAATTTTAATGAGCAAAATAGCCTGCCTTGTTGGCTCCAAAACTAGTCGGGCACACCCGAAACACTTACATGAGTAAAACCGTTTATCTTTAATAAATATTATCTACAACTGTCCAACGCAGTCTCATTATAAAAGAGTAATCTCTGCATATCTTTGTTGATATGCCTGCATTTTACCAACTGAAAAGCTGAGATTGCAAATCAAATAATAATATGTAGGTGCATTTTTTTTATGGTATAAGGGGGCAAACGAGCCGACGGGTCACCTGATGGTAAGCAACTACCGCCGCACAAGGACACCTGCAACTCAAAAGTCACAAGTGCTTTGCCGCTCTTGGAGTCCCTCATACATGTTATATTATCAATAAAAAAACTTACCAACAGTCGTGTATCGCACATAAGTCTCTTGATTGTCCATCATGGCATCAACCGCTTGCTTCTCGCAGTACAACGCTGTTATCACGGCTATGCTTGGTTGACGTGACGAGTGCAAAGTCGGCATTTGTTTCACTACCTGGTTATTAAAAAATAATTTTGTCTTAAAAATTGTAATAAAGCAATTTTTACACACTAAGAATACCAAAGAGACAAATATATAAAATGGTTTAATGTGTCTCACTGCACTATCAATTTTAATAAATAGAGAGTTTTGCACCTACAGGTATTTCATCTAGAAGTTTCCCTGTCTTTTTATCTTTTCACATGTTGTTAGTTTTGCATTACCTTTCGATACATTTAGAAAGTATGAAGAACGTGTTTGGAACGGATCTTTGCTATATTTTGGCCTTAATTGTCTATGGGAAGAAGAGCATAAATGATGAACAAATGTACTCGAAGGCTTACGCGCGGCTGCCCAGTGATTTACCTTTAGACACTCACCGCTTTCATAAACCCTCTGTTCTTTAAAGTACGGTCTTTCATGGTCATTCTAAACCATCAGTCATTATCACATCACTACACCATTGCGGTGGTAGCCATCTTATTATTGATGGTTTTAGTTCCTGAGAATAGAATTGGATAATTAATTAAAGTTATATTACCTGTGTATCAATACTGTGCTGACGAACATACAGGCCTTCTGACATGGCTCGCGTCAGTCCCTTTTCTTCTAATGCTTCTAAAGCGTCTTTCACCTCTGCTTTAGACCATTGACCAGCGCTGTAATAAAATTGAATATGTTAATAATTCATACGTTAATAAACTTGCAAAAATTCGGTTTGTTTTGTGAATGAACATATAGATCATATAATACAAAAAATTATTAATACAAATAAAACAATAAATTATAATACTACAAATAAATAGACAAAAAAAAAATAAGAAAAAAAAATTGAGCTTGCTTATTTATTTATTTTTTACGGGTTCAGGTTTACAAAAAAAAGACCTTGAACAAAAAAACGTAGTAATATATAAATGACAACCGTATTCAAATTGTGCAAATAATAATTTATTTAATAATTTATTTATTTAACACCAGTTTACAAAATCAATACTGTATGATAGTGTTGTAGAATATCGTAACAATGTAAAATTGTATAAGTGTTAGATTATATTTATAATTCTGATTTCAACTAATATTCTTGACTGACAGAAGTAAAAGAACTTAGAACAGAAGATTAATTACAGAGATTTATTATAAAAATCAAACGATACAATACATACAATGTATATAATATTATTTTCTACTAAATATGTTGTTACTTACGTGACAAAATCGTCCACCGTGAGAGGATTCGGGTATGCATTTTCAATCATGTCCAGCACTCTCTGCTCTGATATAACCGGGATTTGATTTGTCACGCTATCTTCTATGTAAGCTACAATAATTATTATTTGTTAGTTAAAATTGTACCAATTAAGTAATTTCACATCACTATTATCGAATCACAATATACATACTCTTTGTTACGTTGATTACCGACGTTATTTTAATTTCATGTAGAATACTTATTTACAAACAAATTCCAAGAAAATGAAATGTAATGTAAATTTTACAACATAAAATGTTGTAAATATTGACCAACTATTATATATAGATATAATAATAATATTACTTATTTGAAGTACAAAATGCAATGAACATTTTAACACTGTGTGACATAACACCTTTTTATCCTGGCATTGTTTGTAAATAAATATTCTTTATCTAAAATGTATTGGATTGGATTTCTCTAAAATGTATTAATCGTGTATATATGTCATCTAATTCTCTATAAATGTCTACGGCTACTCGCATTTTATCATGAAACAGTTTTGTACATGCATATGAATGAAAACCTAAGACTTTGACATGGATAAATGCTTGAAAGATACGGTTTTCATAAATAATAATCTGTCACTAATACAGAAAATCTAAAAAAATATGTTATATATATATTTTTTAATAAAACGAAATCAAACAATAATTCATACATACATGAGAATTTGGTGAAAGCAGTAAAATAATGTTTGCAACTAATATGTTTAGGGGGTCTATGTGAGTTAATATTGCCGTCAAACACATCACATTGCAGTTATTGTTAATTTGAAATCAAGGAACAAGATAGGCACAGTTGACCATATTGTCACGGGGCTTCGCGAAAGTTTGAAATCGCGCAATTCCTGGAACCGTTTAACAATAATAGACGTTGGCACAGAACAATAAGTTCTATTCCAATACCCATAGGATCGAAAGTTGATTCGAAATGGATCGAAGGTCTACATTTGAAGCGATTTGTATTGAAAATTGCTGAAATGTTCCTTTACGAGTATTATAAATTCGGACACGTCTTCGTTGGAGTTTAGTTCAGTTCGAGTTACAGTGTGATAAACATCAAAGCGATTGAAGTGAATAGAACCCAGCGACCCGACCCATGTGACCCAGCGACCTCGAAGATCATTCCGGACTATTATTGAGTGTTGTTGAACGTTTTTAAGTGTAAAGATAACAAAGTCTCTTTAGTCGTCAGAAGGTTTATTATTCAGAATCAACGAACCCTAATACGTAACAATATTCTAAATTCAATTTATAAATAAAGCTCAGCCATAGCTAAGATCTGGGTAGCCTAATCATAAATAGGCATCATTCCGGTCCAGCCAGACTATATTATATGACGAAGTATTCTCTCCCACAAATGAATATTTTCTGTATATTATTATTAGAGATGACATTAATCAATGCACGCGCAAAATAGGCATACATGACTTCATGTTCGTGTAAATTAGATAGTGCAAAATTGTTAGATTTGTTGGCCATAGACAATACATGCTTCACTGACCAAAGCAAGTTTTTGATACCTTAGTGCCAAGAAATATTTTAGAGTCTTAGAACGTATGGTCAACTGTATAAGTTTTGACAGAAAAAAAAACCAGTAAATAAATAACATGCATAACAGTATATACATACTAAAATAATATACATACAGCCGTTAGAATAGTTGTATATAATGTTCTTACTCGTTATAACGCCGTTCGTTTCTGTATCATAAAATTAAAAACAAAATATATAATTAATAACGTTTCGGTCAATGTAACCTCCTTAACTAATGATAATAGCAATCATGCAACGAGTATAGAACACCGCAGCTACAAGTCAGCCACACTGTGCTTTTCCATGACAATCTCTAATATTCTTTAGTGACGTAACACAAATATACGAATCTATAACCGTTAATCACAATTTAACTACCTGCAATACCATCATCTGCTTAACCTTATCCCTAATTTATTTTGGGTCGGCGCAGTAAGTACGATCCTTCGTTTCAACTCTATCGTTTGTCATCTTACTGCGTCCTAGCTATATCCTCTCTCACACATTTCCACCTTTTCTTTGGCCTTCCTCTTCTCTTACAACCCCCCTTCAACTTTCATACCTAACACTTTTTGGCCACATTTCTTTCCGAGTTAGTTTATGTGTATTTTTCAGGTTAAAGTTTATTTCTTTTTATGTAATAGGGAGCAAACGAGCAGACGGAGACTTGATAGGGATGGTAAATGACTACCTTCGATCATGGACATCTGCAAACCAACAGTTCTTCACCTTCAGAATTAGGGGAAGGTGAGGTTTGGCTGCGACTGCCTCACTCACTGGGTGAAACGCAACGAACAGCTGTTTGTTGTTTAACAGCTGTTTTCTGTGAGACCGTGGTATCACTCCGGTCAAGCCAGCCCATTTGTGCCAAAGCATGACTCACAAACGAAATATACAATATAAATGACTGGCCTGTTGGTCTAGTGGTTAGTGCCCCTGACTGCAACGCCAGAGATCGTGGGTTCGATGCCCACCCAAGACAAATAATTTGTGATGAGCACGGTCATTTGTTCTGTGTCTGGGTGTAATTTCTTTTTTTTTTAAAGACAACTCCCGCACTAGGAATAAATCCTGTGTCGCGGGGGACTTTACAAACATACATGAAACGGACACAAAGTACACCCAGACTCAGAACAACAATTTGTGGATCACACAAAGTGTTGTCCCATGTGGGGTTTGAACCCACAACACTCGACGTAATAGGAAACGGCGTGGCGACCGCTTAAACCACTACGCCATCCGTGCAGTCAGTCTATCTATGTATATGTATGTATTCAGAAATATATAAGTATGTTTATTAGCCGACAGTCTGTGTGTAGTACAGGCTCTGCCTAGTTTGGGATCAGAGGGCCGTATGTGAAATGTGTGAAAATATTATATTATATATAAAGTAAAAAACTAGTAGTAGTAGTTTAAGCGGTCGCCGCGCCACTGCCTACTACGAGTATTGTGGGTTCGATCAACACATAGGACGACACTTTGTGTGATCCACAAATTGTCGTTTTGAGTGTTGGTGTTCTTTGTGTTCGTGTCACGGATGTTTGTAAAGTCCCCCGCGACACAGGATATATTCCTAGAGCGGGAGTTTTCTCATTATATTAAAAAAAATGGAATGATAAGTCTAATAAGCGAGAATTCAGTACGCAATTCAAGGATCCTCATAGTGGACTTAGAACCCGCAACCTTAGCCTGGAGGAGACGACAGGAGTTGAGGATATGTTCCTGTATTAATATTAGCACTATCTATCACTAAAATATTGCAGGTAATTAAATGGGAACCTATAATATTATTGAAACATGAAACTTTTATTTTATTTCTTTACGTATATTTAAACAAAGGGATACAAACCAGGTAAAGGTGGTCCACATCCTTCTTGTCGAAGTTCAACTTCTAGTAGTTTGAGTTGTTGATATTTGTGTTGCATTAGTTTCATTATCTTTTTTATGTAACCAACATAATCTGAAATTAACAATAGGTAGCATGATACAAAAATACTATTCTGATTTTCCGGTAAACGATAGTGTCGGATCGCATCAAGTAGAAACTATATAGTTCATCAATAGCTTTTAATAGTCCACTGCTGGACATAGACCTCTCCGTAGAAAGAATTTGGCCAACTATACCACGCTGCTCAGACGGGTTAGTAGAGGGTTTGCGTCAAGTTTGCCTTCTTTTTGCAGTGCTGTTGTCCTGCGTAGTTTGCTCCTTATTATATAGTTACCTCCTCATAAATACAATACGAAAGAAGCCTATAGGGTCATCGAATGTATGATGCATAGGTATCTCTGTCACTCAGTACAGTTTATAATTTTTTATTGTCAAAATTTATTAACCCTAATTTGTACTGGGTCAACGTGGACGTGACCCTGGAATCTTTAAAAGTTTAAAAACGTATGTCTTCCACATAAGGTACGATGCATTGACAAGTGACATTAATGTGTTTTATAGTTAATGTACAATTATTTTTTACCGTTTAATCTTTATCGGTGATTTATTAGGCAGTAATGAGATATTTCATATGTCGGCCTATTTAGATAAGACATATGGAATAAATCAATCTATAGTTAGATACTGTTATGATACTGTTTTTATTTATTTATACATCATCATGTCTTTACAAAACGGTTTAAAATAATAATTTCTTTTTTAATTTATTGAAAAAAAATGCGTTTACTTAGTTAAGTTTCAGGAAGGCGTCAAGTGCTATTGATAATATTTTGTTGTCTAATATTATTAAAGTACAGTTTATGATCAGAATTATATTCACGTGGGACCAATGGGTATATAATATACCCAATTGAATCATGAACCTTAAAAAGATGGTAGATAATAAGAAAAATACCTTTAGGGAAGTCTTGAGGGCTGACAAGCTCCCGGAAAAATGCCTGAGCCTCATGTGGTCGTTCATTCGGAGGCATATGGGGTTTGAACCAAAATCGCAAGCCACGTGCTTCTCTTGTGTGAGTCCCGGTTGCACCTGATACCAAATATACGTAAAATTCCAGTTGGGCGTGACATGGCTCTGTTACTCCATTTTCTGTAAAAAAAGGGATAAAAGGCTTTTTATTAAAGCTTTGACAAAATTCTGATTTTTATCAAGAAAAAAAGGTTTATCTGAAATAGGTCACTGGTAACTTTATCACACATAGGTGGTACCTATTCTTCAGTCAGTGAACTGATATCGCACAGTGTTTTTTATAAAATACTCCTTCCCAATACCTAGTTCATTAAAAATGCAAGAATATTACTTTCAAGTACTTATTTTAGATTACATTTTATTTTTAAATTATAAGTTTTTGAAAGATCAATTCTAATTCCCTAACGATAATGGTTTCTATCCTTTCTTTTTTTTTAATTTTACAGGAATACCACATTACAGGAACCATGTTGGTGACGATGGCAGCGGATGTTGGTAGCTCCGTCTTGTATTACGATTACGTAATATTATTATGATTCTAAACATACTTTTACAGCTCAATTGCAACAAAAACTTAAAACATATATTTTCTTATCTAACTTATAATGCAACAAAACATTTATTGTTCAAATTGAGTACAATGCTCATTGTCTTGCAGTTGCTTAATGTAGGGCTAATGAATGATAATTTATAATTAGGTACGCTTGAAGAATTTAATTTCTAAATAACTCATTAAGAGACTCCACACTATGACAATTATGACTGTCCGCCCGAAATAGCCAAATGGCGTGTGAAAGTAAGAGTCTATTCCGCGCACCGATGGTTCTGTACTTTGTTTGTAGTTAATTCTCAAGTGTTTTGAATTTATGCTCAAAGATTTTTATCCGTTTTTATTGAGAGAATAAACTTGACCTTGTATTAGAAAAATAACAAACAAATTAACGACGTGTTCCTCCGAGCCTTTTTCCCCAAACACCAGGTACACACCCCAAGTACTAGGCGATATCGAAGTTCTGTAAAAACACTGTTGTCGGACTTTTTAGGGCTTCAACTACCCGTAACGTTGCTACAAATGTTCGTATGGCACCGGCTTAACGTGCTCTCCGAGGCACGGAGGAGTCTCAAAGTGTTAAGCATAGTCACCCATTCGTAGACTGACCTGGCTAGGATTGCTTAACTTTGCAATGTGTTAACCTATTCGGTTACCACTTAGCTACGAGTTACACAAATTAACGACTCATACCTAAATATTATTTTCTTTCTTCTCACCAACTTTTATGATTCTAAGGGGGCAGGAAGGGAACATCGGGGTTCCCACGCAAGTCGTAGATGGCCCGTGGTACCAGGTATTTCCCTTCTAGAGTATACCTGGTTCCCCGGCTACTGGTATCTAGAGACGGCGTGCGGTTTTGTCGGTTCGAGTCCGACATAACCATCCCACTGGTGGGTGCTATCTGAGAGGAGTTCGGCACAGAAAAAAAAGGAGGATGTATTCTATAGGTTTTGAATTCACTTTAAAAGAAAATATTTATAATATCCGCCGCGCCCTAGCAGTATCTTTTTTATAATTTCTGATATGTCAACTTTAGAGCAGTCATTTGTTTAAAATATGGTACACTCTTGTTTATTTTACTTTGTTTGTTTTTTTATTTATCCTACATTTTGGTTGCATTCTACTAAAATATTACCAAGTGACGATAGATTAAAAAAAGGCTATGTTATGTGCTTTTCTAATAAACAAGCTATCTATTGGAATAAATTTATTTTTTAAACTTTTAAATAAATACTCCTGCTACAGTCTCTATTATAAAGTACTATAAATGTGATACAACAATACATAGCTATTTATAACCACATTTATTTCCTGATAAGACTAATGTAATCCAAAAAATATCCTAATGACAAATACAATAACTGCTATTGGATACAGGAAACCGTACAACCAAGATAACAATGCAGTATATGTTAACATAATAATTGTGGTAAAACAAAAGTTATATTAAACTAACGATTACTGTGGTATAAAAACTGATTATATGTTTCATGAGTAACTAAGTGCGTAAAAAATTGACTTAACTAGTGCCATTTATAATATGAAAGTAGCAGTTTATACGTCAGAAGAAAGTATTTTCAGAACCACTAGACCTTATACAGAGATACTTTGGCCTTTAGAAAGTTACTTAATGCAACATAGACAATATAGTCCTACTAAATATAATAGAGTAGTTTACTCTGTTTAAGATAAATGTAAAATGTTGATCATATTGCTGACATTAAATAAGGTTCAACTGCTTTACAGATACCCATTATCGACGAGTGGAGGCAATAGTCCGACCTGCTAAAATTCATTGCTAGTTGCAAATCAAACATAGATCAGAAATAACACAGGGAAATACTGATAGGCTAAAAACACTGTTTGTCTATCTGTCAATTCAATGAAACTGTAGCCTAAGTATTATTTCTGAAACATAATAATCTACTGCAGTCTTATTTTCATTTATGGAATATTTCTAACTATTCCTCAGGATTAAAAAAAAGGAATTAAAACTATAAAATGACACAAAGTCACAATTAAATATTGATTGTCAAATCAATTTAAGTTTTGACTATATTTAATACATAATTATATTCCTACTAGCTTTTGTATTTCGTATTTCATTTATTGTGGTAAAAAGTAGCATAAGTAACTGGCTTATAATGTTCCATCAACATTTATATTCCATTCCCAGTTCCATGTAACAAACAAACTACCTTTCACATTTATAATATAATTATAGATACATTTACATTACAGTAACCATTGGAAGGTTTAATATTTTACTACAAAAATACCTTTTATGGCAGTTGTTAGATCAAGAGTTGATCGGAAGTAATCCAAACTGAATTTTGTTGGGTTGTCGAGTTGGGAACTAGAGGGCCTTGTGTGAGACGTGTGAAGTTATTATTATTTAACCATTTGGAAATTGAAAAAGCTTTTACATTACTATCTTCTGTGTACATTACGCTAATACAGTATGAATATAGTAGTATAGTATCTAATGAAGATACAATTGCCCTGATTAGTCAAACCAAATTTTTAATAAGAATTATCATATAATATAATTAGATTTTCTTTATAACAGTTAGAAACATCTTTCTTAAATACAAAATAGCAGTATTAAATTTATAACTAAATTAAAATAGCGTAGAAATGATTTAAATAAAAAAACAATTGTAAATAATTATATTATTAAAGACATATATATATTTATTATTGCACCGCATGTACACACAAATAATTCCTAAATATTGTTCTTAAAATATAATAGTGAAAAATATTACACATACCATAAGTTTTTTCTTTATTTATTATAATTCCTGTATGGTCCCCGCCAGCAACATGGATTTTATCGCTTGCCTCTGGTTCCACAGACTTTCTTTCAATTACCAAAGTAGTAGAATTAGCTGTCTTGCACTTTGGGGTCATTACAACCTTTTCTTCAGCTTCGGCCATTTTTTCGGCTCACTCCTACAGGCAGGTCAGAAATTTGTATACCACAGGATTCTAACCAGTAAGGATTAGATCAGCAATCCTAATTTACAAGTTATGACTCATTCGGTACTTCTTATTATCTGTATCTTTACAGTACGGCAATGACAACCTTAAGATCAACTAAGAAATATAAATTAACGACTTAGTCAGCAAATGCAACATATCAAGTTTGTTAGATCGAACTTTCACAAGGTAATCGTGTTTAGGTCTAAGGGACATAGCAACTAATGACATTGAATTAGAGAAACCTTCACCTGTTGTTGTTTATTTAAAGTTTTCTTATTAGAATGAAACCTGAACAGTATTTAATTTCTCTATTCTGAAAAATATATTTTAATTCTAATATTAAATGATTATTTGGCTTATATTTTTCTCTTTATATACTTTATTCAAATAAACCACCAACACAGACATTCCCAGATCACAAGAATGTCAGTAAATGTCAGACAATTGGCATAAATATGTTTGACATTGACACTTTAAAAATGTTGTTATACTTTATTATTACCTTTCTGGCAAAAGCAATAATGTTAGAAGTTTTAAATTACATTTTAAACCACATATTACATTATTTGCTAATACTGATGACTGCACGGAAGTAGTTTAAGCGGTCGCCACCCCGCTTCCTACTATGCTGAGTGTTGTAGGTTCGATCCCCAAATAGGACGACACTGTGTGTGATCCGCAAGTTGTCGTTCTGAGTTTGGGTGCTCTTTCTGCCCGTTTCATGTATGTTTGTAAGTGCAGGAGTTGTCTATTTAAAGAAAAAAAAAACACATGAAAAATGTTAAGTTACTTGAGTTCTCAGTAATATTTATCCTCTAATATTCAACGGCTTCCAAACGATACAACTTTATTACTTATCTGATTTGCCATTGATTGATCAGAAGGCCAGATCATAATTTAAGGAAAGTTCGGTCAAAATTCAGTTCCAATTCCTTGCGATCAACTCTCCATCCCACAACTTGCATAACAGGTATTTTTGTAGTAAAGTATTAAAACGACCAAGGATGACTGTAATGCGAATAGATCACTTAGTAATACTTTACAATTTTTTACTAAGAAAATACTTTTTATGACAGTTGTTAAGTTTGTTGAAATTGAATTTTGATCGAAGTTTTATTGTAAAAATTAGGCTTCAGATTACGCGGCCAGTGTGCACAATGAAATCATCTATATGAATTTGGTATTTTTTCTATACTAGATAGAGTCCGTGTGGTGACGGATTAAGAATACAGATTGTCACCACCCCTATTCATCCCGTGGGTGTTATAAGAGTCAACTAAAGGAGAAAACTACGCAGAACAACAACACTGCACAGAGAAGGAAAACTTGACACAAACCCTTTTTTTTTTTTTTTTAACGTGTGGAAATCCCCTCGGACCGTCACCCCACCGGAGTTTGCGGCGGGGTGGTGTGTCGGACTCGGACCGACTAAAACCACACGGTGTGCCACTCTGCTCCTGTAACAGGAGGGATCCGGGAACAGCTGTTGTTAAGACATCCGGACCCCTCCTAGCGCCAGCCCGCTCCTGGTGCGGGCTCCGTCTCAATATTTTTTCCTCTCTTTAGGCGACGTCCGGCACACGCGGACGCCGCCCCCTCGCGGCTGGCCAAACTAATGCGGGTGGAGGGGAAACCCACCCCGTCCACCCGCGGCCACACTCAGGGCGGCATGAGGCGGTGATAGGCGCGCCTCCGCCACCCGTTTCACCGGCGTCGGATCGGGTCCGAGTGGAGGTCGTCCTCCCGGGCCTTCTCCGCCGCCTCCTTCTGCGAGATTACTTCCTCGCAGAAGGTTGCGACCGCGGTAAAACAACTGTCGCTACCGGCCATGGAGCGTACTACGGCCGGTAGCGAGAGATCCACTCCAATGACTGCAGTGAGGGCCCGGCGCTGCGTCGCCCAGACCGCCAGCGTGTGCTGGGCCGAGTCCTCACTGCAGTCGCAGTGGTGGCAGGCGGGACTCAGTTCCCTCCTAGCGACCGAGTGCAGGTACTTTCCGAAGCAACCGTGCCCGGAAAGCACCTGCGTCAGCCGGAAGGAAAGGGTCCCGTGCTGCCGCCCTGCCCACTCGGCGATGACCCACCCTTATTCATCCCGTGGGTGTCGTAAGAGCCGACTAAGGGAAAAAACTACGCATAACAACAGCACTGCAGAGAGAAGGAAAACTTGACACAAACCCTATACCAACCCGTCTGGCCAGCGTGGTATAGTAGGCCAAAACCTCCTTTCTAAGGAGAGGCTTATGTCCAGCAGTGGACTATTAAAGGCTGTTGATGATGATGATGAGATAGATCTCAGTAAGAAACGTTCTTATACGTGTCTCGTACACGATTACATAACTTATTTGTTTTTTGCCAGCATTTAAGCTGTAATATATTAATACCATTCTAAACAGTTTCACTTTAAGTATATTTAAACTAGTTTTCAGGCATAGGTATCATGCAAATAACCGTGTGAGCATGAAACAACCTGACATTACAAACAGACATTAAATTTTATTTATTTGTACAGTAGAAGATGATTTATTATGTTTTATAAGATTTGATCGATTTTAACGATTTAATTTCAAACTCTTCGAAAACACTGTTCAAGATTTCCATTCATTTTATCATATTTATATTTATAAATATGATAAAATGAATGGAAACCTTGAACAGTTCTATCTATCTCATCGCATCTATTGAAAACTTGGTAATAACTAAATAGTTGTAAAGTAATTATTTTAATTTAGCCTTTTAATTTAAAAAACCATGTAAAGTAAACTATGCTTTATATTAAGAAATATAATTTTTTTATCGACATGTTTGACCCACAGCTCCATCTGCCTTGATATATTTTTCCAGCGAAACCTGGCTGAGCCTTAACTATTGTATTTCCATATTGGTATTAGGTATTTTCCAATTTATATATGAAATCAGTACAACACTATTTTTTTGGGTGGCCGTGCCGTAATATTTGAGAAACATTTGGCTTCACACAGGTAAACCGCTTCGTTACGTAATGCGTTACGGCGCCAATCTGTCTAGTTTCCGTTTCTCTAACGCACACGGTAGCGGTAGGCAGGCTCCTCCTCTGTATTGCTTATTATAGCTAGCATAAGCCAATTGTTACTTTTATAGGATTAAATAATGATACTAATAATGTACAAACATAAAATTCTAACGTACACATTAAAAAATTGTAACTAAGAATAAAAATATATTTTATAATAAATAAAAGATTTTATTTATAAATAACCTTTCCTTACATTATCATATTTATACACATAAAATTTAAGTAATAACCTAAGCTTTTCTCAAGTTCAACAATTTCAAAATTAAATAGTTAAACTTAGAATAGTTTAAGTTGTCACTTCTGTCGAGCGAGCGCAAACGTTTTTTTATCTACTCTTATTTTGTTGGAAACTGTATGAATGTCACTATGACATTGATGACGGGTCGGTGAGTTGACAATGTCAGACGCTGACTGACGGTGTGTTGTCGGCACGGCATCGATTCAATATTAGTATGGTAGTCAGCAAGTGTATTCATTAATCATAAAAAGAATTTACTACACATGCCTATGTGATCCAATATTTTTGCACAGTAATCTTAAAGATAAGACTAAATACATAAAACTGAATATCGTGATCAAAATGCACCATAAAAAATATAGTTGTATACTTCTCTTTCTTACATTACTTGTGAAGTCGAATAGTGAAGCTTTACAAAGCGTAAGTGATGATGATCTCTTGGAATTAATTAGAGAGAAGGAGAAGCTTATTGTTTTATTTAGTAAGTACTTTAATTTCTTTATGTTTTAAGAAGTTGTTGCATTAATTTTTTGTTATATTATATGTGTTAATACAGCACGAAATAAATCCATAACATTAATAATACTTAATTATTAAATTATTATTCTCTAGCCAAACCAAATTGCGACAAATGTATGCAGTTTGAAAAACATCTAGAAAATCTTGAAGAAGACTTCAAAAAGCATTTAAATGCTGTAAGTGTGAAAGCCATAACTAGTCACTTGACCCGCCTTTACAATCCAGCAAAAGACCCTGCCCTCGTTTTCTTCAGGCATGGCATACCATTGTTGTTCAGTGGTAAGTTTCTCAATTTTTTGTAAATATTATTTTTGACCTTAGTCTAAATGATACATTTAATATTACAAGTATAAGATAATTAGGATTACATGAACAGAGTTCTGCTCTAGGCTTTCTTTAGTTTTAACACCTATAAAACAATAAATATTCAACAATATTTACCATGTGTTATAAATTCTAGTAAGGTAATTGTTAATAGGTGAACCAGACGAAAATGAAATTTATGGGTTCTTTGAAAAGAATCAGTCCCCTGCAGTGAAAGAACTAACTGATAAAATATTTGAGCATATAACTCAAGCAGCAACAGGTGCTACTACCGGTGATTGGTTTGTTATGTTGTGAGTATGTTTGTTTTCAATATCTTAATTGTTTCTTTATACTCGCACAACTTCATATATATTTTAATTCTGCTTTTACATATCAAAGTCAAAATATATTTATTTAACTTTTTATTTTATCTTCTAGAGATAGACTCTAAAGTCGTAGATCATCACACACAATAGTAACAATCTGTTTTGTCATAACAAACATAAATCCAATCCATTATATGCCTATGCCAATCTACAACCATCCATTATCAAGGGTTTAAGCCTTATGAGAAGGAAAAGCAAACAAACTCATGGCGACTCTTTTTAACTACCCAGATAGATACAGAATGGAGACAAAATCGAAATTTCAATAAACATGTTTTACACTTACAGCCTGTTCAAAGTTACACAATTTTGTAGTATAAATTACTTAATTAATCATATCTTTTAATAACTTTTAGTCATTCTAATTTAAGAGGTACTGTTTGACGTTTCATACTTTTCAAGACAACAACTTTGTATAGCTGTAACTCACGCAATTTCAATAACCTTTTCCGTAAAACCATAGAGTAATGTAGCTATTTTTTTTTTTTTGCAAGATATAAAATTCTTAATGACTAAACGTAATTTAAATTTTTCAAACAAAACAAAATAACCAATTTATACACAATAGATGTTATTTTTCAAACTTCATTTCAAAGTCATGTAGTTAGGTCCTTTACCGTAGTGTTGCGGCTCTTCAAATTCACTTGAATACGAATAATCGTTAAAATGTACGGAAAATCGAATTTATTAATAATTAGTAATTTTCAGTCCAGGTGTCTTAGTGTTTAATAATACTTAAAATTCATCTGGCATCCAAATTTAAACAAAAATGCATAATTAATATTAAAAGTATGTAAGGGTAGCGTATGTAGAAGTAAGCCGTAACACCCTGGATTAACACATAGGATCCTTTTTATTCTGAAAAAATACAGTCGAATTGAGAACCTCCTCCTTTTTTTGAAGTCCGTTAAAAAATGAAAACAAGGAATTGAAAATTCGTGAGTTTCTCTGTGAAGCGTGTAGCCGCTTTTCTTGTCAGGCGGACCACTCACCGGCCAACCCAGTGGAGAGATTCTCGAGATTACCTCAGGGCGCCTTGTAAGAGAACAGAAGTGTGTGCGTGTGGGAAACCTACGGGACTCCTTAGAGGAAAACAACTTACACCTCAGTCATACATACATGTATATTTCAAAAAAAATTAAAGTTACAATAATTAAAAAAATAAATTAATTAGTGGGTATAAAAAAACCGCAGCGGCGCGCGTCAGAGCCGAGCTGATGGTGCTCGGAGCCTCCTCGTCTTCACTCCAGGAGGTCACTTCCCCTTCCGCCCGAGTCGGCTATTTATATTAGGTATTAAGGAAAGTTCGCTATTGATATTAATAAAGTTAACGAGAAGTACGTAACCCTTGAGTACGGCTGTCCGCTTGTTTGGTGAGCCGCGTGACTGCCAGTTTGCCAGAGGGTACCGAGAAACTTGAATTCGTACCAGAAAGCCACTAATGAACAAGCACGCCGTCTGAGACTGACCGTCTTGACCCGAAATCTGGGACCCTACGAATGGATTAGCACTCATATAATCGATCAGGTTCCAGAAACAAATAAGTACAAGAAAAGTTAAGAATATACTCACCACTTTCGAGGGCACTTTGAACAGATAAAATATTACGAAAATAAAATCACCAGACAAACAAAACACTATTTAAGATTGGAAGACAAGAGTTAGCAGAGTGTCCCCCGGGGCTGAAAGCCGGACTTATATATGTTCGGTTCGTGAAGTTTCCAGAAAGAATCCCTACTTCAATATTTCAAACTGTCACTCACATTATTATCCAGGTTAACACGAACTAAATCAAAAGTAACTCGCTTCCTACCATAACAGGTCACTTATAACACCAATACAATTTATCATGATAAATTAATAAAATGACTTATCTATAAAACAAACGCCATCTAGTGGTCCGATGGCGGACGAAGAACAACAATACTATAGTTACAAACTACTTTAGATAAATCAACAAATGCGACGGGGGGCAATAGATGTCGCTTTTTACAACTCCGTACGCAATACAAATATACTAAAAAAATAACTGTTACAAGCGCAGCTATTATTCTACAATGTAACACTTCATCACATCATCATCACATCAACAGTCTTTAATAGTCCACTGCTGGACGTAGACCTCTCCTTAGAAAGGAGGTTTTGGCCTACTATACCACGCTTGCCAGACGGGTTGGTATAGGGTTTGTGTCAATGTGGCGGCGTGCTGTTGGCGGTGTCATTAGACATCTCCAACGCATTCAATAGTCTGCCATTCAGCTGCATCAGGGAAGCACTCCACTATCATGGGGTGCCAAAGTACCTGAGGCGGCTAGTGGCAGACTATTTAGAGGAGCGTACCGTCGTGTACGAGGACCGAGATGGTAATTTGAGGTGTCGGCCCATGTCGTGCGGTGTTCCACAGGGGTCTGTTCTTGGACCCCTCTTGTGGAACATAGGGTACGACTGGGCCCTTCGAGCCGATTTCTCCCCCGGGCTGGGTGTAATCTGTTACGCGGACGATACCCTGGTGACAGCCCGGGGGGCGAACTTCCAAGAGGCGGCGCGCCTGGCCACAAGGGGAGTCTCCCTGGTGGTCGAGCGCATTGAGGCGATGGGCTTACGGGTGGCCCTAGATAAGACGGAGGCCCTGTTATTTCATGGGCCCCGTCGTGGTCCACCCCCTGGCGCCTCAATTGTGGTCAACTCGGTCCTCGTACCGGTTCGGGCCCAGATGTAATATCTGGGCCTGATCCTCGACGGGAGGTGGCTTTTCGACGAGCACTTCCGACAGCTTGCTCCAAAGCTGGTCGGCGCTGCGTCTGCCCTAGGGCGACTTTTGCCCAATTTGGGTGGACCCAGCGTCGCGACAAGACGGCTGTACACGGGGGTTGTCCGGTCAATGGCACTTTACGGTGCACCGGTGTGGGCGGCGGCTCTGACCGCCCAGAATAGGGCACGCCTCTGGCGCCCTCAGAGGGTAATGGCGGTTAGAGCCATACGCGGTTACCGCACCGTTTCGACGGAGGTGGCATGCGCGTTGGCCGGAACTCCCCCGTGGGATTTGGAGGCGGAAGTGCTCGCCGAAGTTTTTCGGCGAGAGGCTGACTCCCGGGCGGAGAGCGGATTTCGTCCTCCGCCCGAGGATGTGCGCGAGTGGCGCGAAGCCGCTCGCCGAGCCACGATGGCTCGTTGGTCGTTCCGGCTGGAGACTCCACGCGCTGGCTTCGCCGCCGTGGAGGCTCTCCAGCCGGTCATCGCCGAGTGGGCAGGGCGGCAGCACGGGACCCTTACCTTCCGGCTGACGCTGGTGCTTTCCGGGCACGGTTGCTTCGGAAAGTACCTGCACTCGGTCGCTAGGAGGGAACTGAGTCCCGCCTGCCACCACTGCGACTGCAGTGAGGACTCGGCCCAACACACGCTGGCGGTCTGCCCCGCATGGGCGACGCAGCGCCGGGCCCTCACTGCAGTCATCGGAGTGGATCTCTCGCTACCGGCCGTAGTACGCTCCATGGCCGGTAGCGACAGTTGTTTTACCGCGGTCGCAACCTTCTGCGAGGAAGTAATCTCGCAGAAGGAGGCGGCGGAGAAGGCCCGGGAGGACGACGTCCACTCGGACCCGATCCGCCGCCGGCGAACCGGGCGGCGGAGGCGCGCCTATCACCGCCTCATGCCGCCCTGAGTGTGGCCGCGGGTGGACGGGGTGGGTTTCCCCTCCACCCGCATTAGTTTGGCCAGGCGCGAGGGGGCGGCGTCCGCGTGTGCCGGACGTCGCCTAAAGAGAGGAGAATTTTGAGACGTCGCCTAAAGAGAGGAGGAGGGGTCCGGATGTCTTAACAACAGCTGTTCCCGGATCCCTCCTGTTACAGGCGCAGAGTGCCACACCGTGTGGTTTTAGTCGGTCCGAGTCCGACACACCACTCCGCCGCAAACCCCGGTGGGGTGACGGTCCGAGGGGATTTCCACACGTTAAAAAAAAAAAAAGGGTTTGTGTCAAGTTTTCCTTCACTCTGCAGTGCCGTTGTTCTGCGTACTTTTTGTCCCTTAGTTGCCTCTTACGACACCTACGGGATTAATAATGCATGATGCCATTGGTAGGTCTTTGATTAAGAATATTCACTGTAAATGATAAAGCGGAAAATTATTATAAAATAAGAGAGGAGTATTTTATAAAATAAGATACTCGGACTTTACCAGTCATTTCTATACAAATGTCTGTTTTTAATTGATTTTAATAGCAATAGCTCAAGTTGTACAGCATTTAATGTAAAGAATTTCAACATCAAAAAGTCTAAATTAAACAAAGATTTTTGATTGCTTTGACAAACATTTTTAAATATAAAAAAAACAAGTCGCGTATAATAAACTATTTTTTATTAAACACTAGCTTACCTACGCATCTTCACCAAGAAGGTATTCATTACCCCCGTTTTAGCAACATTTTTATAACACACTAGCTTACCTACGCATCTTCACCAAGAAAGTATTCATTACCCCCGTTTTTGCAACAACTTTTCATTGATGCTCAGCCCCTCTAGTATACCATACCTACAGTAAATAGTAACATACCTATTATTTAACTGTATTTTAATCTTATTTTTCTGTCAAGATAAATTTTGTGTTTGGTGTTTTGCATATTTATATGCCTATTTTTTACTTATAATGCTGCAAATTTTGCATATTTTTTAAGCATAAGCATTAGGTTTTTTTTGTCTTATAAAACTGGTTATGTGAATATTTATGACGCATTGTTGCTTATTATTTAAATATCTTAACTACTCTTTGGTATTTATTACTGTGTATTTTAACAGTGAATTGTCTAAAAAATTTGCAATTTTTTCAAAGCACATCAAACATAGCAGAACTCTGGTTGACATAGTACAGGCTCTGCCTAGTTTGGAATCAGATGGCTCATTTGTGGGATGTGTGAACCCTTTGGAGATATAGGCGTGTGTTTGAGTGTGTGTCATATTAATTTTTCAAACTTCTGTTCAAATAGACATGCTGACATGCAAACACAACTTTATCTTTAGTGTCAACATTACTTAATACAAGTATTGTATATTTTTTCCAGCTATGGAGCTTCATGTGTAGAATGTCAAAGACTGCATGCTGTATGGGAGAGTGTTGGAGCTACATTACGAGGTCGAACCAATGTGGCACGCATGGATGCCAATCTAGCAGGCCTAAATACAGCAAAACGGTTCCATGTTACTAAACTGCCTACTTTCCTATTGTAAGTTCTTAATAATCTATAGTAAAGTCGATTCTTGAAAACTCTATTTATTTATTGTTATTAAAATGTGTAGTTATAGGATTTTTTTAAGAAAACGTTGGAATGTTTCAGTTTCCGCCTTGGAAAAGTATACCGTTATGATTTACCACTGAACGACGTCAAATCATTTGTAACATTCGCTCAGGATTGGTATAAGAATTCGAAAGGAGAACCTGTACCACTACTCCAATCTCCATTGTAAGTACTTTTATTTTTAATGAATAATGAATCACACCACGAACAGTAGTAGCTCGCTGAATTAAATCATGAACACATTTTTGAATTTCCTCCCTTTTAATAGGTACTACTGTTATTGTGGACGATTAATCACTTTCTCTGTAAATCAAGAAAATTCAATCAATTCAAGAAAAATAACAATTATACTCAAAAAATATTTCTAATTTCTTACTAAAGTAAGGCAGTTTTATTCTTGAAATGCAATCTTTAAAGTTGACTAGCTAAAAAAAGCTAGACTAAATAACAATTTAGAATGCTGCTCATTCTATTTCTTGAAAACGACATCATGAATTTTATTGAAACTACGATTAGTTTTTTTATTTTTCTGGAAGAGGGAGGCAAACGAGCAGACGGGTCACCTGATGGAAAGTGACAACCGCCGCCCATGACTTCTTCATGTCTGAGCTTGATGGTCTTGCCCACCGAAAATATCTGGAATCTATAATATTATTTAGAATATAATATATTTTTGTTTCAGTGACGAACTTGTAAACTGGTGTGTAGATATGATTAAACAGAGCGTAGCATTTGGACTAGACATTCTAGCAAAGTACCCTTGGATTTGGCAGATCGGATTGGCGGGATTTGGTTTAGTTGCAATCACTGCTATCATAGCGCTCTTAAAAGCTGGCCGATCTAGGCCTGCAAAGAAAGACTCTAAAAAGGATAAGAAAAGTAAATAATTCTTTAAGAATAATAAGTTGCTCATTTGCGAAAAGACTGACTTACTGAAATCACAGATTTTCATTTAAGTATACAAACAGATGATTTTAAGTGATCTCTTAATAGCAATGAGCTAATAGATAAGTCGGTGTAAATGGAAGAAATATTTTTATACATTCATAGTATTATGTTATATAGTTAATTTTATTATATAAACCTATTTTTGTTAAAAAAATGTTAATTGCTCAGTAATACCATACCTACTTTTATGTGTAACTATAAATCCATGACAATATCACTGTGTAATAGTAATGTTACTGTGAATACTAAATATTTTTAATCCTTATGGATTGTTAACCCACTGCGGCGAAGTCCAGAAACAGGGTTTTATTTTTTACCTGTACCTGTCGTTGCTATGCTCTGTTGTATGTATATGTGTATTTCATGTCATGAGATTCGATTAGTTTTTATAACGTGAATGTCAATGGGTATCACAAAAACAAAGAGAAACAAAATGGCGGTTTCTTTTGCCGCCAGAACGTATTCGTATTTTTATCGCAGTTGGATTATCAAAGTTTTAATGTGTATTTGGTAACAATTTATGTATATCTTAAACAAACCGTTATAAATACAGAGTACAAATGCTGTGACAAACTGGTGTTTGGTTCTAGTAATAAAAGAATTTATGCTTAAAAGATTTTTTATTTATGTGCGATCCTTACGCAATACATAATATTTATATATGTAGGTATTAATTGTTGCATTTATAGTGTCATGATCTCGCTTATCGTAGTAAAAACATCATTTAAAATTTATAGAATTGTCTTCCAACTTTGTTAAGACTCAAAACTATTTAGTAAGTAACTTTTCAATTCTTTGACTCATTACTTTTTTTAGGTAAAGATAAGCTTTGACTCCCACCACCTATTTTTAGAACCTGCTTCCTTAACATGTATTTTTAGTGCCACTATAAAAAAAGTATTTGTTTTTTACTCAAGAATTACATTAGTTGGATTTTTTATTTAAAAAGGACATTACATTATAATATGCAATTCTTAAACGATGGTACGGAACCTAAAACCGGAATTAGTTGGTATTGTCAAATATTAATTCCTGAGTTTCCCTACAGTCGAAAATGAGGGGTCGTTGGTACATTAGTGTATACAACAAATCGCGCAAACAATCTGTCATCTAATCATCAATCCAACTGATTCATGATCAGACTCCCCGTAAAATACTGCCAGTGAAAAGGGAAGTTGATTTCATATATCAACTAACACTCAGTTCAGTTCTGCTGCAAATGAATGTGGAACTTTCTTTGGTTAGCAGTTACCAAACAGCGAATTGGTATCCTTTCGAAGACTAGTTTATAAAGGATAACTCTAAAGATAATGAATTGTTCCTTTCTTTGATTCGTCTTTTTATTTTCACATTTAGAAACACTGTGTTTCACATCACACACATCAACAGCCTGTAAAAGTCCACTGCTGGACATAAGCCTCTCCTTAGAAAGGAGGTTTTAGTAAACATCTATTTTTGCAAAGCTAAAAATGTTTTTTTTTGGTCTTCTATATTATTTAATATGAATTATCGTATTCCAAAAAGCGTAATGCACATAGACATAGATTGCAGTTATTGGCCAAACTCACTATTATTTATTATAAAGTCATTGTGTGAAAACGTGGTCCAAAGCTTGATAATTCGTAAAAGTACATACTTTTGAATAATATTTTGTTATTTATACAATAATACATTTTTTATAACATATTTTTACAAATTATGAAATAAATACATACTGTATAAAAAGAAAGTGAGATATTGTATTTTCAGACTATGTCAAACTGCATTGAATGTTATAATGATATACAATTGTATTTATTTACTAAATTTATTAAGTATACCTATTTATTATTACTGATCGTTATCACAGAAATGTACTTTGCAATTCGTTTGGACCACAAATACATTGTACTTATAAAATAATCAGAATTATCTCCTAGTACATCAATAACACTCACACACATACAGTGCATCAGTAGAACATATTAAACGTCAGCTGTGCACAAACACTCAGGGTTGGGGCACACAACATGCAGGGCAGAATGCGCTGGTGGTAATCTACTAGTTAATATAGAACGTCGTTCACACCGCGTCGACCTTTCGCCTCGCCCGTTATCTGGCCCAACCTTCAGTTAAACACAAAATAATTTATATCCACACGATAAACCTTAGAACCCCATTGAGCAGGTTGAAATAATTGCATTGAATATAAATGTACAGAGAAAGACAATTTTTACAGTTAATGATATATCTATAGACTAGATAAAAATTGAGAACAAATAAAAATATTATAAAATTATCACAATTGCTAAGCAAATTTTCTGTGGTCTCATATTCTTCTGTGTATTTGAATATAAAAATCATCTTGTCTATTAAAAACCACAAGAGCATACCACATATGTGAATGCCCAGGTGCTGAAGAACTAAAATAAGCCTGCTTAAGTATAACTTTTCTTGTGCCTTAGTTAGGCTTCAAGTGCAAGTAATCATTTTATTCACTACTCAGAGGCAGAATAATCAAAGTGCAAACAAGGCTATTAGGCAAAAAGGCAAGCAGAAATTTTATAATCAATTAATATTGTACTAATAAATATTGTCGCACAAGATAGCTTAGTATTAATAAATATAGGTCACATAACTTGTATGTTTTTAATAACTTAAATAATCAACATTTGTTACTTAACTTTTTGGTAATTAGCTAGGACTTAATAAGTGTCACAGCAAAAATTGTTATTGATATTATTCTAAAGTTGTTTTATAACGAACTTTGCTGATGTCAGATATATATTTATTTTGCTTCATCATCATCATATCTACCATAGGAAACTGCTGGACATAGGCTCCTTGTATTACTTAAAGAGCGGCTGGTAGCAGCCTGCGTCCATATGCCAACTTTTTTGACAGGTGATATTTTTAGTTATGTTCTTTTAAGTAAAGCTGACAATATAGAAATGTTATGTTCTAGTCAGACTTAAGTAAGAAAGCTACAATGTGCTGTGCTCTCTTTGTCATTATATCTTGGCATACTAACTATTAAAATAAATATTACATAAATTTCATTATATATTGTCTACTTCAATATTTATTCTAAACACTGAAGCTGGATCAGCCAGTTCCATCCTAACTGCATTTTCAAATTTCTTGAAAATCATAGAAAACTCCATAATGTTTTGAGGTTTTGATTCTATCCACATTTTATCAAACTCATAGAATAAGTAGCAATAAAACTTGTGGAATAGATTAATACTAGGCAAAGATTGTTTCGCATTGAACATATAAGTCTTGGCAGAACCATCTTTGAGTAAATAATATGCCATTGAAGTAATATTTATACCAACAATTGCATAGGTATATCCATATGTTGGATGCAAAGAGTGGCTTAAAACATGTCTTGAAACTTGCAGATAGTTTGTGGCAAAAAATAGAAGATTTTCCAGACCTAGGAGACCCATTCCTCGGAAATCTGTTTTTGGATCATCACCCTGAAAAAAATTGTTAATGTTACACTTACTTTAATTCTGATTAGATTTTTGGCAGTGTGACGTTGTTAGGATTCAATTATACATTTTTTTGAAATAAATTTATCATGATTACTAGCATACGTATTGACTAACTTGTTCATGTCAATCATTTGGAGTTCTCTCCATGGTGGATGTTCTAATTAGGTAATATACTCACTTGCATGCTTAGTATTCCGTCTTTCAATTATCTAACTACAAAGACACTAGAAGCTTATATTTATTGTTTAATAAAGTACCTGAAATCCTATATGCTGCCATTGTTTCGATACTCGACCTTCCAGTGGAGAGTCTGGCACCAATAAAGACCATAAGTTCAGCAACATTTGTTCATGTTCATCATTGTTACTGTCAAACTGAGTACGTCGTAGCTCCTCCACTTCATCTATAAGACTTCTGTAGCTCCAAATCTGCTCCAAACAACGCCGAAAGGACACGATAAAGGAGACGTGTAACTTTGGGTTAATTTTCTTCACTCTGAGTATGATAGCCACTGACGGATCCAAGATTTCACGAAAATGACTACGAATGAATCGTCTTTGTAATACTGTACCATCTAAATATGAAACAACTTCTTTAACGTCTCGAGTACGAGACATCATCAATGATTTCTCTACATTACGTGTTCTTTCAGATCCAACTCTGTCCCCGTAACAAATTCTTTGCAATTCGCACAATCGTGTAGTTTTCCTTAAGAACCATTTGATGAAGGGCCTCAAATACCACTGTAAAACTGACCATATGTTAAATACAATCATTGTTTTCGTGAACTTAGAACTAATTCTTTTATAAATTGCACTTTATTTTAACATTTCAGTCAGTGTAATGTTTCGTTTGGTTTTTCCATCGTGACTCGTTGTCATGACCACTGACTGACCTGACTAGGGATGGAATAATATCACAATCGCATGTATTAAATCATATGATTTATAAATCATATCAGCTCACCAATGACTGATTTACAGCACCACTGCTACATAATTATTGCAAGACACGCGAAAGGTATAAATCTAAAAAAAAAGGTTATAATCTTTGATAATAAGTATTTTGATTGATTTTAATGGAATTTATCTTTGTCTATGACATGATCACAATAATTTGTGAAATCCCTGTGACTAAACGAATCAAATGATCAAATGAATATGATTTAAAAGTAGTAATAATTTCCATGTCTTGACCCTGACCACACATTTTTTATGTTTATATTGAACTTAAGATAAACATAAAAATAATTGCTATTAGTTTAAAGTATATAAATAAATTGTAAAGTGCCGGCGGCTTTACAATGTATTTTAGTACTGTTCGGCTGCCCCAAATCAAAACCCAGTACTTAAGTGCTTTTTAACAAATAACATAAAACCGAGTAGCCTTACAAACACTTTTGTAAGGCTACTAGGTTTTATGTTATTTGTAAGTGTTAGATTAAAAAAGTGATATTTATTGGATAGTGTACTAACCACTGTTTACAAAATGTGTAGAATATTTAGAAAATGATATGCACTTCACGTTTTATACCTACCCCTTACTAACTTTAGAAATGAACTAACACAACTTTTGCCTCTGTCCTGACTCGTTTCAAAACCTAGTATAAGCTGCCTGTTATAAGCCTGCCTAGTATAAGCACCTGCTGTGTTTTGAAATGGGGATTTTTAAAATGTATACTGATCAATCTTGTTTCTAGTATGTGCATACTCCGTAGAGGCAAAACAAAAAATATTGATTTCTGAGTCATTTATTGTGTTAATTTCAATTAAACAGAACTAACAATTAACTTGGGGGAGGCCTTTGTCCATCAGTAGACGTCTCTCTGCTAAAATGATGATGATGAATTTAACAGATAAAATGAAATAAAAAGTAAGGCCATAATTATTTATATAGTCATTCATTCAGTATCATTATATAGCTTCTGTTAGCGTTCCAACCCCCGCCCACCTTCTTATTAGGTCAACTGACACAAATTGTTTATTGGTAGATTTAACGAGAATGCCTTAAGCGATTTATGCATTACAGGTACCATTTTATATATTTGCGAGCAAGTTATGCTCGCGAAGGAGACGGCGGAGCGGGACCGGGAGAAGTTTAGAACTCTCCCGGCCCGCCAGGCCCGGGCACGGGCCAGGCAGCGCAGGCGACTCAGGCGCCGGAGGTCGCAGAACGACCTCCGTCCTCCATAAGCGCAGGCCTGGGGGTGACAGGTGAGGCCATCTGTCACCCTAGCAGAAGCAGGCCGGGGTGGCGGCGAGCGCGTGCGAAGCGCGCTCGCTTCCAGGGAGCACAGGGAACATGGGGTTCCCACACGGGGCGGGGGTCGTCTACTCGTCTGTAGATGACCCGAGGTATGTCGGGGCACCAGGGCCTTCCTTTCTAGGGTATACCTGGTTCCCCGGCTATTAGTACCCGGCGAAGGCGTGCGGTTTTAGTCGGTTCGAGTCCGACATGCCACCGACAGGTGGTATCCGCACGGAAAAAAAAAAAAAAAAAAAAAAAAAAAAGGTACCATTTTATATTTATAGTTTCTTCTTTATTGTTGCTTTTATTATTAAAAAAATCCAGCTCAATGCACGTCTCTTCAAATCTTCTAAGCAATCAAATCCATCTGGTGATACTTTTATTATTGAAACGTAAGTAAACTATGTGCGTTCCAAACATTCAAGACTCTAAGCAGTTATGTACCATACAGACGCAGATAGACAGATAGATAGTCATTTGTGGTATTAGCGAAGAATAGCCATACCCATATTATAAATGTGAAAGTGAGTTACGCTTGCACGTCTAAATATGATTTTAAAAATTCCTTCACTAATGGAAAGTTACATTATCAGCGAGTAACATACGCTACTTTTTACCGTGATAACCGACATACACTCGGGCAGAGCCGCGGGCAAAAGCTAGTATTATTAAATTTCTAATAATTACCTTGACTTATAAAGTAGGTTCATTAATACACATATAAATTTCACTTGTACCACAATATTTAAAATTAATTTTAACGAGTTACTCTCCTTTTCTTTGGTTATTCATAATTGTTCTTCCATAACCTTAATATTTTTTCTAGATTGCATCACCGTATCTTTAAAATCTTGGAAATCATATATTTTTTTATTTATAGTTCAATGTTAGCGTGTACTGCGTCTGCAGACATATGAGGGTGTTCCTTCGTTAGATAGCTGATTGCTATCGTCTATAAAACATTTGTTAGTTTATTTACTGTCTTAGTCAAGGCTGAATAAATTGTCCAATTCTTATTTGAGGCGTGTTGCATCACATTTCAAGAACCTAGTAAGCCTCATTTTCCATAACTAAACCTAGTAAGTGCATGTGACTTGCTAGGTTTTGAAGTGGTAAAGGCGAGTTACTAGGGTTTTAATCTGTTTTTTTGGATCGAATTCACTTCAATTCATTATTCATTAAATATAAGCATTACAGTGTACACCAAATCGCTTATATCTATATATTTTTTTACTAAAAATAAACTACATACTACTCGTATTACAATTACGAAACTTAGACCAATAAAAAGAAAAAACATAAAATTTGTAAACAAAGACAACCTTACAGTGATTAAGGAACTATTAAATTACTCTTTAACGTTTAGATAAATATGTTTTGAAATTATATTGGTCGGGAACATAAAAATGTACGAGTATTGATTCCCGTACAACAGGGCTATCTACCTTCTCCACCGTGGGACCTGGAGGCGAGAGCCCTTGCGGCTCTGTATAAGTGGCGCAAGGAGGCGCGGGAGTTGGGTCGGTGTCCCGAGATTCGAGAAATCGATGACCGGAAATCCCAACTCCGCCAAGTCATCATAGGGGAGTGGAGGGAACGACTCGGGCAACCGAGCGCCGGGCACGCCATCATCGCGGCGGTAAGACCCGTTATGGAGGGTTGGCTCGAGAGGCGTCACGGGACCCTCTCATACCGACTGACGCAGGTGATCACTGGGAAAGGATGTTTCGGGGATCACCTGTGTCTGATCCGCAAGGAGCCAACGCCTGAGTGCCACCACTGCGATGGCCAGACCGTGGACACGGCTCTCCACACGCTGGCAGAGTGCCCGGCGTGGGTTGAACAGAGGCGAGACCTCGTGGCGGCCATCGGAGTGGGAGTTCTCTCGCTCGATAGCCTGATTGCGGCTATCGTGCGGAGTGAGAGTGCGTGGAACTCAGCCGTCTCCTTCTGCGAGCAAGTTATGCTCGCGAAGGAGACGGCGGAGCGGGACCGGGAGAGGTTTAGGACTCTCCCGGCCCGCCAGGCCCGGGAACGGGCCAGGTACCGCAGGCGACTCAGGCGCCGGAGGTCGCAGACCTCTCCGACCTCCATAAGCGCAGGCCTGGGGTGACAGGTGAGGCCATCTGTCACCCTAGCAGAAGCAGGCCGGGGTGGCGGCGAGCGCGTTGCGAAGCGCGCTCGCTTCCAGGGAGGAGAGGGAACATGGGGTTCCCACACGGGGGGGTCGTCTACTCGTCTGTAGATGGCCCGAGGTATGTCGGGGCACCAGGGACTTCCCTTCTAGGGTATACCTGGTTCCCCGGCTATTAGTACCCGAGACGGAGTGCGGTTTTAGTCGGTTCGAGTCCGACATGCCATCGATAGGTGGTATCCGAGGGGATATCCGCACGCAGAAAAAAAGGGCTATCTACCTTATTCGCCAGTATCAGACAATAGTGCATTATATGTGTCTTCCCGTAGGATTCCCGTCTGAGTTGAAGTGTATCTAAACCCACAATTTCTGACACAAACATTGAGTATAGTATACTTACTAGGTTTTTATGGTGTCAAGATATATGTTCTTTGTAAGATTTTAAGGCAGGTGTCTTCCCACTTCGACGTGAATTACTATGAAAGTTCAAAATTTACAAAAATAATGATTTAAGAAAAATGACCCTTACTGTGTTTTGATTTGGGGCAGCCGTGTTGTTCTTTATTAACTAATTCAAGATTTTTTTTTCAGATATTAAACTAAATTTTGTTGTGTCTTTTTTTTTAACTTGTATAGTACCTTGTATAGTAAATGTAGTGTTGTGATGATGTCAGCACGATGTTAAAATAATTGGGCACGGCGGCAGTATGGGACCCTTTCCTTCCGGCCGACGCAGGTTCTTTCCAGGCACGGCTATCTGTTATATATTAACGACTTACCTCACCTTGTCAAGGAGAATTACTAGATTGTGTTGTTTGCAGATGATACATCTCTATTATTTAGACTTAAACGCACACTTGTTAATATTACAGATGTGCGCCATTTCGCCATTTCGAAAGCCGTTGGTTTGACGTTAACAATTTACTTTCAAATGAACAAAAATCTAAGTGTATACGGTTCGCTACTCCAAACGTCAAGCCAGTGAAAACAACTGTGATGATTAAGGATGCCGGGTCAGACCTTGTGGATACCACGACATTTTTAGGTACATGACTAGATTCTAAGCTACTTGGGGCCCACATATTGATAAATTATCGAGTAGACTCAGATCAGCAGCATACGTTGTAAGAAAAATGAGAGAGTTGACTGATGTTGAAACAGCGAGACTTCTTTACTTCATTTATTTTCATATCACAATGTCGTACGGTATGCTACTGTGGGGAATGGTGCCGACATTCAAAATAATTGTCGCAAAAGAAAGCGATTCGAGTAATTCATAATTTAGGCTAAATTTCTATTCCAACGTTTTTCTTTATTTTGTTTTTCTTCATTGCCTTTTCAGCTATTAGTCCCTAATAAAGGGCATCCTGGCACACATCAAAACAATGTTGTGGT